TCCAAGTAGGTGGGTAATGGTATTGTTTTAAAATCAAACCCATCCTTAGTATGCTACCGTCCCATACCGGTGCCTACTTTCCAATCCTCCAGTAGTTAATAATACCAATAAATCAAGTATATATCAACTAAATTCCAACATCCAACATTCAATGTTAGCAGTGATAAAATAAGCATTGATAAACAGGGTCACAACAACAACATATACATGCCCAATTTAAGTTGTTCCCTTTAGTCTGATATAAAGACAGAATTAATTAAAACTTCCATTTAACACCTTACAAATGACATACAGATATGTAGGGTATGTATCACAAAATCCTAACCTCCACAGTTGATACTAACTGTGATAATGTAAGCATCAAAACAATATTCACAGTATGTATGTAGACATGCTCAAATTATAGTGTTCCACAAAACCGATCTAGTGTTAAACTCAAATCCTCCTAGTGTTTAAGTTCCAACAGTTGCTATTACAGAAGTTAAGATAGCTATCATCTAGACCCATCCTTCCAATAACTTATACTAGCAGTGGTAAGGAAAAACGTGAACCACAGAACCACAATGCATCCACAAACATGCTTAGTCTAGGTTGAACAAGCATACAACACTACTGTAACTACCAGTTTCATAGCAAAACAGATATCATTTTAGTTTGGTTTAATCTTTATTAATCCTGGAATCATTTAAGAGTGCAAAGAGTATGAAGCCTAAGGGAAAGAGTAAGGATAGAATCTTGGCTCAGAAACTTTTGTTCAAAATTTCAACGTCGTCTTTTTAAAAAATCCCGGTGAGTTCCAAAACCCGGTTACTGTTCATGGGTACGAAACACTATTCTCGAACTCAAAATATGATCTCCACTGTTCAGATTGTGCGACACTGAGTCATAAACCTATCCTCCAAATTTCAACTCGATCGGACCACGGACGAAGCGGGATCGGATGTTTGATGAAATCTGGGCAGAATGGAAAAAAACCTGTGCGACCCAGTTACTGTTCACGAGTACGAATCACTATTCCCGAGGTTAAACTCTGATCTCCACCGTTCAGATTGTGTCTCACTGAGTCATAAACCTCTCCTCCAAAATTCAGCTCGATCGGACCACGGACGAAGCGGGATCGGAGCTTTGATCAAACCTTGGCAGAATGTAAAAAACTGCGTTTTTCCTTCTCCACTTCCACAAAACGTGTGCTTTGTTTAAAAAAAACCCTACACAGACGTCTACCTTATACTTATAGAGTTTTCCTAAACCCTAGGTTCATTTAAGTCCAACTCACAATCCTAACCGGCCTATCCAATTAACGTAGAAACCTACGACGGCTATAATATAAAACCCTAATTTATACTGTAATTAAAACCCTAGTTAGATGTATTTACCTAATTACCCTATTCACCATTAAATACTTAACAAATAATCTAATTGAACAAAATAATAATTAGTAAACCCAATTAAACCAAATAAGACACACATAAAATAATTAAACCAATTACACTTAAACTATTAATGCCAATTAAATAATTAAAACACTAACAAGTAATTCCAATCAAATAACTAAACCAATTATACTTAAACCATTAATGCCAATTAAATAATTAAAACACTAACAAGTAATTCCAATCAAATAACTAAAAATAAATATCATTTAAATAAATTAAATCACCACAAAAGAAAACAATTAAGTATCTAATGAAAAAAATAATGACACATAATCAAATAAAATGCACTTAAATAATAAATTAAATACCATTAAATATCAGGAATATCCTTTTTAAAATTAGGGGTATTACACTATATCATCCAATATCATAATTACAGTCCCAAAATACAAGAATAATATCGAACGTCCAGGTTTTACAACGTTTATACAACTTATACTAAAATTACAGTCCATAATTATAATTACAATAACAAGGGTCCACAAACCTCTATGCCGAATATAACAAACTAAGGTTTTACAAAAAATATGGGACTTAGTACACAAAATGGCAAAAAGTCTTCTAATCCAAATTAGCCCTGTGGTGGAACGTCATCCGTCACTTCTTTTCCGTTTCCTGAAATTTTTTTATTAAATGATAGGGTGAGCAAGTTGCTCAGTAGGTAGTGCCTAAGACGCACCTCTTGAAACCTCGTGAATCCAAACAGAGAATAGGACATTAGGAATTTGGGGTCATGCAAAGCCGGGAAAACGCAATATCAATTCTAAGCTCAAATCAAATAAGTCTCGTGCCATGAATGCAATGTTATGCATGTCACTTCCCATTTTCAGAAAAACATCATCACTTCACAAACTGTTAATATAACCCGCCCTTTGGTGACTCCGCAGCGACACGAGAGAAGGATTGACTACTGTCCCTGACCTTTGGTAATTCCGCAACGTCATTTGGAGCCTAGATAGCTCAACCATGCTAGGGCAATCTCCCTAATTTCCTCTAGGCTATATTAACACACCGACCCTTTGGTGACTCCGCAGCGACCGGGTTTTCTCAAAACATTTTATCGAAACACTTTCCCAAAATCCCATTTCATTTATTCCAAATCATTTCATCCTTTTTTTTTCGTGCCCATGTTATGAATGCATTGGACATTTTTTTATTTTTTTATCATTATGAGAAAATTAATTCTACATAATCTCACATGCTTTCTCATATAAATTCTAACATTTCATCAACACAATAGACATAGAGCAATAGACATGCTTTTCTTATATCATTTTCAATTAAACTACAACATAAAAAAAAAACATGGAAAATTAACATTTTAGATATGTTTTCTATATAAATCTAGCCATACATCATTTAACATACTTCACATGCCCAAGTAAATCAATTTAGAAACAACCAACTAAAATTAGACATGCTTGACATGGATCATAGTAGAAAAATTCACAAAGGTGCAAGAAAAAATGAGAATTAGAGACCCCTACCTGAAAATGATGCAAAACCCCCAATTTCCACCTCAAACCCTCAAAATGGGTCAAGATTTTTGGACTCCCTAGAGTGGCCAAAAGCTGAAATTGTTGGTATGGATTTGAAGACCTCGTCGTGGGCTTCAATTTGCCGCAAACGGCACTTCAAAATACCAAGAGATGAGGAATTAATCTAGAGTGAAAGCTTGCAAAAGAAAAAGTAATAAAAGAAATACAGAGAAGCAGAGAGCTGCGAGAGAGAAAAAACAACAGAGAACAAAAAAAAAAAGGAAAAAAAGTGGTCTTATGACCACTTAAACTTCGGGGGTCCCACATTTTTTTTTTCTTTTCTTTTCTCTTTTTCTTTTGCTGTTAAAACACACCACACACAGACATTACAGGTCTTGATAAAATATTTGCTGAAACTCTTTTATTATTGAAATAATAACTTTGTCCTTAGAGTATTTTTTTGGATTGTTTGGTAATATAAAGTAGTTAGTCTGTTTTTTATACCAAATTCTATTCTAAATCCATACAAATGAGGCTTCAAAGTTGTGATTTTACATTTTTATTTATTTATTTTTATTATGTAAGTTCATTAAAATTTAAAGGGCTTAAATCGTAAAATCACCAATACTATCATTTTTTGATCATAAAAAATTTCAATTTATTTGTAAAAACCTTAACAGTATTACAAAGTTATTACTTTGTCCCAATTATGTCAATGAACCATTAGGGGTTTGTTAAATGACTAAATTACCCTTATGATATATCACTTTATTTAAAAAAACAAAAATTCATATTTTATAAATTACAACATTATCCTCTTGCACAAACAAATAAAAATAAAAGTTGATAGCACACGGTTGACGCATGTTCTTGTAGGGGTAGTTTTGTCACCAAAATTTGATTATCAATGCATGTGAAAACCACGCGCTAGGTTAATGTCTCACACTAACAAAATTGGGGCAAAGTGATAACTTTGTAATACTGTTAAAGTTTTAAAAATAAGTTAGAGTTTTATGATAAAAAAAATGATAGTATTGAGAATTTTAGGATTTAAGCCCAAATTTATATGTGTGAGTTTAGAAGCATTTCTTCACCTGCATGTCATACAAGTAAACAAAGGCCTCAAACTTGTAATACATATTTTATTAAAATCAGTTTATAAAATTTTATATGTCTTACATACTGGTATCATATTTTATTAAAATCAATTTATAAAATTTTATATGTCGGTATTAGGCTAGTGTAACAAGGGAAGTTTGTTCCATATTTGATCTAAATGAGAGAGTGATTGTGTATATAGGCTGAGTGTTAGCCCCATCTATTAGGTTAGGCTTTTTGGTCGGATCACGAAGCATCCACTCGTAACAGTTGATATCAGAGTTAGACCCAGTCTTTGATCCTGTGTCACGCTAAGCGCCTGGCTCGGAGGGCTTCCGGGTGACTAATCCGGGTAGGTAGAGTGGCCCGATCTGCGACGAGGGCGTTGTGAGTTCGGGCGAGGGAGTTTGTCCTACATCGAATCCGGATGGGAGAGTAATTGGGTATATATAGGGCTGGGTGTTAGCCCCATCTATTAACTTGAGTTTTTGAGTCGAATAACAAAATACCCACCCATTACAACTAGTAATGTGTCGAGTTTTTGTTTTTTTTGATATAATTTTATCTCCATTTTATTTTATTATTATTTATTATTGATAAATGATAGGAGTCAAGTTAGTTACAACTTCAATAAAAGAGAAATTCTGAATTTAATTGTTGACCTTGTTTCGAGTAAATGAGATACTTGCTAAGAAATGTAAAATAATAGCTAAATCGTGCAATAGATATATATGTAACAGGATTAGTTTATAAGTTGATTTTTCTTAAGGGTATTACATTTCCATGAAGATAGATTTTGTACGATGCAATTAGTACGAATAATAATTACACAATTGTTGCATGATTTTTTTAATAAATAAAGTAGCATATTTTTGTAGGGTTTGTAATTAATTTTTCTTGAAAAAAAAAAAATGTATTGACGTGATATCTGAGGAAACTAATAAGAATAGTTCTCTTGCTAAAAAAATCTCAACAAGATTAATGGGAGAAGAACACTCTTTAATACAGCTCCCAAACTTAAAAAATCAAAAGCTGGAATAGGCGATTGCTTGTTCAGTGTTTTAGCTATACAAAAATCTGCTTCTCTAATTTTATTTTATTTTTATTTATTATTATTTAATTTTTCTGTTTTCTCAAATATATATATTTTTTAAAAACTATTTACGTCAGTTTTTTCTTTCTTGTAAAATTAAAGACTACTCCTTTTTCTAAATAAATAGTAATGTACAGAAAAGACCTGTAAATTCAAGCTGTGCATGACCTGATTTTGGGTAGTAACAGTTCAACGAAAGATTGTGGAGTTTCTTTGGATCCAAACGTGGTACACACAAGCTGACAGGGTAAGTTTTGAAACTCGATTGGAAATCGATTATTTCATCCAAATGGTGGGAACACCAGTCCCCCAAGGCTCTCCAATTAGAAGGCCTAATATGGAATCTGCGTTTTTTTTTGATGAAAGGACCAAATTGGGGCAACAAAATCACATTTGAAGAGCAAATATTGTGTGGGGGATTCACTGCTAGACAAACATTAGCAATTAGAAGGTGGCTGCGATCAAGAGAGTTGGCAATTTGTTTTAAATTGGTACCAATGGAGTGAATTTGTGTTCCAAACCAGATGGGTCCCACGGACCGACAGCCAATGATCTGTGATGAAGAATGTATCAACTCCCATTGCCTATTTTCTGTTTGATGAAATGTCTAGCTGAAATGCTCCTCAGCCTCAGAAGCTTCTTCAAACTGCATGAGCTTTGCTTTTGCCGCGGAGCTTTCAAAACCCAGAAGTTTCTTGACCTAATTAAGTATGTTCTAATCCAGTTAGCCCAAATGCTTTGATAGATTATATGCTAGCCTTGTTAGAAACTAGGATATTAAGGAGCCAAGGACTAGTTATGATTGTTTTGTCGGTGTGGTAAAAGAAGGTAGGTTATGAGGATCAATAGTTTAATATGGATAGCAGCAATTGGATTCACCGAAAAATTAATTAAATCTTCAACTAGGCAATTGTTATTATCAAGATTCTCTTATTATTTTATTGTCCCAGTATATATTCTCTTATTAAATCTTCTACATTTTTACATGGGAGCCAGCATATATTGACTTCATTGGTGATTACACCGAGTATTGATTCCCTCGCGATAATGTTTGTTTAAGTCATACTTACCGAAAAAATTGTTTAGTCTAACTAAATAAAATAGACAACCCAACTGATAGTCATTCACTCCTTCATGGGTCATCTTCAACATGCATCTATTTTATAAAACACAAGAACTTCAAATAGATTTTTAAGATTGAGGATGGAGAAGGACTCGAGAAGGCTGGTTTTCAGTACAACTCCAGTAATACTTTACTTACTAATTCTCCCTTTGATTTATGCTGCAATTTTCTCACCAAAAGCTGTTTTGTTTGATGAATGTAAGTCTGATTGTTCTTGTACTTAATGGGCATTCAGTTTTTAAACTTGGCTAGTTTCAATGATTTGAATTGTTGGGAAATGATAGGGAAACAACAGCTATCAAATTGGAGAGCTAGGCATGGCACCAGTGAGAAATTTATTTTTGAAAGACTAGTGAGAGGTTCCTTCTTATCCCACTGCATTTTAATCGTCCAGTTATCATAAATGCACCTTGTCATTATCAAGAATCAAGATTCTCTTATTATTTTCTAATTACTGTATAAAACTAAATTAGTTGATCTATGTATGCAAACAGGAAAAGATCGAACCCAGCTTGAAGCCACTGGATTTGCTTGCAATTCTGCTCCTCACTCAGAAGTTTGTGTCTCAAACAAACCAGTGAGGATTGACACCCAAACTATGACAGTTCATGTGCCATCAGATCGGCCTATGCCACAAAGTCAACGCAATGTTCAGCCATACGCAAGAAAAGAAGACGAGACTGCCATGAAGACCATCACACCAGTTCAGATACTTGAAGGAAGCATCACATCACCAGCTTGTAATTATACCCATGTTGTCCCAGCTGTGATCTTCTCAACCAGTGGCTTCATGGGAAACCTATTCCATGAATTCAATGAAATCATCATTCCATTGTTCCTCACAACCCACCACTTCCAATCCCATGTACAATTTATCATTGTTGATTACGATCCTTGGTTTGTTACTAAATATAACCGGATTTTAACCCACTTGTCTCCTTATGAGTTTATAAATTCGGCTTCAAATGGTAGTGTGCATTGTTTTCCAGGAATAGTTGTTGGGCTTGAGTACCATGACAATCTAGCCATAAATTATAGTGACATCCCAGGAGGGTACTCAATGCTTGACTTCAAACAGTTTCTTAAAGAAGCATATAATCTTAAAGTAAAGACACTGTCAAAGATAGAGCAACCGGTGTTGATGCTTATATCTCGTAATGGATCAAGAATGTTTCTGAATGAAGATGAGATGGTGGGTATGATGGAAGAGCTAGGGTTTCGCGTAGTCGTGGTGACCCCAAACAGGATGGCAAATTTAGACAAGTTTGCCAGTGTTGTGAACTCCTGCAGTGTGATGGTTGGTGCACATGGTGCTGGCCTTGCAAATGAACTGTTCTTACCTACCGGGGCGGTGATGGTGCAAGTGGTGCCGTGGGGGCTAGAGTGGGCCTCAAATGCCTACTTTGGCGAACCAGCTCAAGACATGGGTGTGCAGTACTTGGAGTATAAGATTGAACCGGAGGAGAGCACGCTTATCGATAGGTATGGCCGAGATCACCAAGTCTTTGTGGATCCAGGTGCTATATTTGCAATGGGCTACTATACAGCCAGGGCTATATATGTTGATGGGCAGAATATGAAGATCAATCTTGTGAGGTTTAGAAAGACTCTTGTTGAAGCACTTGGATTTCTTGGACACTCATCTCCTACAAATTGAAGAATTTGTTCAGAAGATTAAAAGGGCTAGTCTAGTGCACGAGGTTACTAGTCTAATGCACGAGGTTACTATTATTGCGGAATTTAGGGATGGTGAAATTTACGCAGTCTTATCCAAAAAGCTTTTTTGTAAGATTAATTGTTTTGATTTGTCATCCTGTGAAATAATAGCAAAGATTAGTCATGCAGAGTAATATTGTTTTAGAAAGCAATAAGATCACTTAGAAGGTACGTTATTTGAAAATATTAATGTGTTTTATTGGTGCAAGCAACTCCTCCATGCCTGCTCTTCCATTTTCCATTGGCCGGAAAAATCTGTATATAACATTCAGCAAAACGTATTCCAATTTTAATTATCATAGATAAGCATAGCCTTAATGGGTTGTGATTTGCCTTTTCATTATAATTATTTTTATATTTGAATGCACATTTCTACTCTAAAAGTTTAAATTATTATAATACTTGTTTAAATTCTTAAATTATTATAATAGGGTGTAGAGTTAATATTTAAATTATTCAATCCGACTACTTGTGTGTGGTGTTTATTTATTTATTTTTTTATTTTTGGTACAATACGTGTTTCAATTTTAATTATGAGGTTGACGGTGGAAAAGTTTGAATACTAAACCTTACCTGCTTTGATACTATATTAATAATCATCTACTATAAAAACTCAAGTTATTAGAGGGAATGTGATGTTAATTTCTAAATCCTTCAACAATATAAATTAAGGTAAAAAATAAAATGAATTTAACTTTTACTTTATGAAACTAGGCCATATTAAAATGAAGATGAACCGGTCAGCCTTAAGATGATTGGAGCCCCTACGAGAGATATTCAATTAAACAAATAAATGATAAATGATTTAAACATGCATGTTAGATTCCCATCGCAGTGGAATAATGAAATGATGAATTTATTTACATTCTGTTGACACCCATTTTGGTAAATTTTGTATTGATGACGTGGCAATAGAGAAGGGTGATATTCCACGTAAATTGAAGTTGAAATTGCATGCAAAGATTGGAAGAGTATTTTGAATAAGTTATGGATAAAGATCATTGTTTTAAGACTTATTTTTTAGTTAGTTTTAGTTGCATAATTATGTTATCTATAGGATTAGTTTATTTTGAATTAATAGTTTATTAAGTGATAGAGTTGTAATGCAAGTAAAATACTTGCATATAGGAGTTTGTTTTAGGTAGTTTTCTATAAATAATGCTATAGGCATGCTTTGTAAGAGGTCCAGTACCCTCAGAAATATTATATTTATTTGTTTGCTTTCCGGAGCACTTTCCCCAAAGAGCATCCTTGCTATCTCTATCTCTCTCCCTCTCTATTTCAGTCTCGTTCTATTTCTTCCTTATATCTCTCTCTCCCTATCTCTTCTCCCTATCACTTTCTATATCTATATTTTCTCCCTTTTCTATTCTCATATTATTACTATATATTATTCACTGATAAAGTCCTTTTAATTAAGGCAATTAGAACTCGAAGAGGAATTATATTTGTTCTCTTTCTCCTCACATCGCCTGATAGTCAATATTTTCAAAGAGACTGCAAGTTTACAACTCACACTTGAACCATACAATTGATTCTTGCACGCCCGCACTACATCAAATTAAGATCGGATCTTAGGAGCCGATTTTAGGATTAACATTTTTGGCACGCCCAGTGGGACCCCACTAGGTGAGTGATTTATAGTAAAAATATGCAGTAAACTTCTCAACCGACATACAAATATTCTGATCAGTCAAAACAGCCGATGTTCAAATATTCTAATCAGCCATATAGTTGGCCAGATAATTATCAGCAATTAGTCGCCGATTATCGGCATGTTCCAGAAGTCGTTGATTATCGGCATGTTACAGAAGTCGCTGATTATCGGCATGTTCTAGAAGTCGCTGATTATCGGCATGTTCCAGAAGTCGCTGATTATCGGCATATTCCAGCAACCGATTATCGGCAGACGCCAATAGTCGCTGATTATCGGCATGTTTCAGCAGTCGCAAATTATCGGTATGTTCCAGCAACTGATTATCGACATGTTCCAGTAGCTGCTGATTATCGGCATGTTCTAACAGTTGATTATCGGTATGTTCCAATAACTGATTATCGGCATATTCCAGAAGTCGATTATCGGCAGACGCCAACAACCGCTGATTATCGGCATCTTCCAGCAGTCGATTATCGAAATCTTCCAGTAGCCGATTATCGACATCTTCCAGCAGCCGATTATCGGCTGGTGGTAAATCTATAAGTGGGCGAAATAAGATCCCAACTAAATTTCCAAATGGGAGAATTTAAAGAGGCACTTGCCGATTATCGGCAGGTGGTAAATCAACAAATGGGAGAAATAAGATCCCAACTAAATCTCCAAATGGGAGAATTTAATGAGGCATTTGTCGATTATCGGCAGGAGAATCAGGAGATTAAAGCAATGATGGCTCAGGTTTTAGCCTTAATCCAGGCCGAGGTAGTTCAACAAGGTCCACTAGCACTACTAACGGCTGCCGAGGGGCATGTGATTGCAAACCCCCAACAAAAGTTAGTTGATTCATACCATCTACTTGAACCTGCCGATTATAGTGGGTCATGTTTGCCGATCAATGGACTTTTGGGCATAATGCAGTCCTGCCGATTAAGCTGAAGGCAAAATCGGCTAAAAGACAATTGGCTGAAATGAAATCGGCTGGAAGGAAATCAGTTAAGACAACTCCTTGCTGGCACAATGTTATTCATCTAGTAGAGATAATAGGTAGATCGGCTAGAATGACGCTTCATAATAATTTAATTCTTGCCGATCATGATCATGATTTGCTAGTGGAGTTAGAAAACTCATGGTAGGCAAGTCCTTTCTGGATTTCTGGGCAAGTGATATCGGCAAACTTTATGAGAATCTAGGAAGAAGCCTAAATCGGCAGATTTGCTAAATAAAGATGATTTTAGGGGTGATTCAAAAGAAATAAAGTTTTGGAGCTCACTGATTTGCAATCTTATTCCAATTAATTAACTCAAAATTTCCTTCCAATGTATTTTAAAATTTCAAATATCTTATCGGCTTGGGCGGCCGACAGCCGATAAGACATTTAAAATGGGAGGCATTGTTGACACCATTTTGGTAAATTTTGTATTGATGACGTGGCAATAGAGAAGGGTGATATTCCACGTAAATTGAAGTTGAAATTGCATGCAAAGATGGGAAGAGTATTTTAAATAAGTTGTGGTTAAAGATCATTGTTTTAAGACTTATCTTTTAGTTAGTTTTAGTTGCATAATTATGTTACCTATATGATTCATTTATTTTGAATTAATAGTTTATTAAGTGATAGAGTTGTAATGCAAGTAAAATACTTGCATATAGGAGTTTGTTTTAGGTAGTTTTCTATAAATAATGCTATGAGCATGCTTTGTAAGAGGTCCGGCACTCTTAGAAACATTATATTTATTTGTTTGCTTTTCGGAGCACTTTCCCCAAATAGTATCCTTGCTATCTCTATCTCTATCCCTCTCTATTTCAGTCTCGTTTTATTTCTTCCTTATATCTCTCTCTTCCTATCTCTTCTTCCTATCACTTTCTATATCTATATTTTTTTCCCATTTCTATTCTTATATTATTACTATATATTGTTCACTGATAAAGTCTTTTTAATTAAGGCAATTAGAACTTGAAGAAGAATTATATTTGTTCTCTTTCTCCTTGCATCGCCTGATAGTCAATATTTTCAAAGAGACTGCAAGTTGACAACTCACACTCGAACCATACAATTGGTTCTGGCACGCCTGCACTACATCAAATTAAGATCGGATCTTATGAGCCGATTTTAGGGTCAACACATTCATATGTATCTGTTTCTGTTTGTATTTATATGAAATTTTTATACTTTTTATTTTACTTATTTTATATTTTTTTGGTCTTGGAGCACGAAAAAAAGAGAGAAGAAAAACTACTTAACATATGAACAATTCTCCATTTTTATAACTTTTTGGTCCCACATATGGTCACATTTAAATTCACCTTTGTTTTTCTTTTCTTGTTTGAACGCACTCCTTAGATAAATTGGCTCAAGTGAACCTCCTTGCAATTTCAATTATATATTTATTAAGCTCCCATGTCTAAGTAATGAAATCGCCGCCCACTTGTTCAACAATTTCAATAATATATTTATGAGTAAAGTACAGTAACACCCCTTGAGGGTTGGCAAAAGGACACTCAAATGAAAGTTACCTATTTTTTGGACAAAAACACCCACTGAAGGTTCAAAAAGGACAAAAATACCCCTTTACATGAGAAATTTACTAAATTACCCTTTGATAGTTTAGCCGACTTTTTTAACTTTACAATTTAATAAATTGGACCAATCTACCCTCATGAATAATTTATGCATAAAAAAAAGTAACCAAAAAAAAAAAAAAACTTTATATTGTTCAATTTTTTTTTTTTTTTTTTGTTATTTACTTTATAAATGTCTCAACTTCTTAAAAATGTAGACGTCTAAAATGATTTTTTGATTCAATACATATATTTCAAATAAATTATATTTTGTTATTACTTCTTTTCTTTTTATTTTTTATTTTTATATTAAGATGCTTAGTTCTTTCATCTAAAAAAATTAAATCAATATATTTTCCTTAAAAATAAAAAATATTGTAACAGTATAACTTTATGCATCTTAAATTATATATCAAATATTATACATTTCTCAACATAAAAGGGGAAAAAAAAAATAATAATAAAACAAAGGGAAAAAAAACAATAAAACAAAGGGGAAAAAAAAAAAAAACAAAGGCAAGCATAAAGTTAAGATGCATAAAGTTATACTAGTACCTATTTTCTTTTTATATTGGAAAATGCATAATATTTAATATATAATTTAAGATGTATAAAGTTATACTGGTACCATATATATATATTTTTTTAAGGAAAAGAGATCGGTTTAATTTTTTTTAGATGAAAGAATTAAGCATCTTAATTTAAAAATAAAAAATAAAAAGAAAAAAAGTAATAACAAAATATAATTTATTTAAAATATATGTATTGAATCAAAAAATCATTTTAGACGTCTACATTTTTAAGAAGTTGGGACATTTATAAAGTAAAAAAAAAAAAATAGTGAACAATATAAAGTTTTTATTTTTTTATGCATAAATTATTCATGAGGGTAGATTGGTCCAATTTATTAAATTGTAAAGTAAAAAAGTCTCCTAAACAGTTAAAGGGTAATTTAGTCAATTTTTCATGTAAAGGGGTGTCTTTGTCCATTTTTAAACCTTCAGGTGTGTCTTTGTCCAAAAATCAGGTAAGTTTCCTCTGAGTGTCATTTTACCAAACCTCAGGGGGTGTGGCTGTACTTTACCCTATATTTATTAAGTCAATGGTTTCTGAGTTCAAAAGGCAATATATATATATATATATATATATATATATATATATATATATTATCAAATATATTTTATGATAAGTGAATGTCAAGTTGTCCACTATCACATGATAAATGGATTTTAGCTCATATAATTAAATTTAACGTTGAATAAATTGTTTATTCATGTGACTATTTTATTATATTAGAGAAACTATTCAGTGATCCAAGACCATGTCAATGTGTTAACATGGTGGTCCCGCGGACCACTTTCACACCCAATGATGTTTTCACATATCGTGGAACAAAGTTCAGTTTATACGTAAATAATCTATAGATTTTATTTTATTTTATTTATTATTTTATTTTTTTTGGATAAGTGTAAATACTCTTAGTTAAAATTTTATTTTGCGAAATATGTACCGTATATTACTACTATATATGTCCACATAATTTATTACGACTACTATTATAGATGCAAGTGATAATAATAATAATAATAATAATTTTGTTCACTTTGCGGTTCAATGTCCATGGCATGAAAGAGTACATGGAAAACATAGAATATTAGTACATGGAGGAGACTCTGGAAATGTCTTTTGTGTATGTGCAGTGTGAATAAGCTCCCAATTTTTAATAATTTGTTATAAGAGGCTGATAATTTGCATGCTTTGTAGTGGTGTGTGTGTGTGTGTGTGTGTGAAAGGAGAAACAGTGGTGCATGTATGACTCGGGTGCAATATTACTTCAATAGTACGGAAAATATCTCCTTTGAGATCAATGTTGACGTGCATGATAGCTTGATGCGGAGTAATAAATTGTGAAAAATACGAACAGAGGCTGGAAACATAGTGAATTGAATGAACAACTTCAAGGTTGCTACTACTGTGTTGGAAGTTATACAAGGCAAGGAATGGTATGATGTTTCTTGTAAAGTGTATATCATGAATCTTCCGTCTATCAAAAACAAAAACTGCATACATTGCACGGTGGAGGTGAAGAAGTAGACCATTACCTCGGCAATAATGAGCCAAGCTAGTATTTACAGTGATCCCCTGTTAAGTAGTCATGCATTACAATAGGAACCATGAGGACTGAATTTCCACTGAATATCAAAAGAAGCAGATGGAGTAAGGGATGGTTGTTACTGGATAGTTGTTAGAAACCATAGTTGTCTTTTTTCCATTCCAACAAGATCAACCATCAATAGTGAGAGAGAATTGATCATGAAAAAGATAATTGTAAGGTAAATGGTTCTATTAAGTTAGCCTGAAAGGATTAGGTAATTACCTAGAGCTCTATCACGTTCAACTTGGGGCAGAAAAAAATGGGAAAAGGGAGATGCATGTTGCACATAAGAGCACAGATCAACTAGGTGATTCTAACAGGCCGAGCCATCACCACCCCCTTCCAGCCCTAACTTCTCGTCAACTTGCAGCACTACAGAGCTCATCTGGATTTAAAAGCTAAAATCTACTAATAATTACACAGCTAAAAGCAGGAAAAGTTCTAACATTCCCTGCATCTACCCGGTCTTACAATCCCAGATCTCCATATTTTAGACTCGTATCAACAGAGAGGAGCATCAGATATACTTGGACTCTTGTAAGGCAAGAATCATGAGGGAAGCAGCAGAGTTCTCAGCGTCTCTTACTCTGGACTTCTCATCTCCTACCATATGAAACACACCATCTGCAGTTTCAATCTGAATTGAACATACAAATCTCCTCTCATGGGCAGGACCCACCTCTTTCTCGATTCTGCAATCAAAAGCAAATAAATATTAGGTCTAAATAATTTACAAGCAAGAGCTATAAAATTAAGGTCCTGACAATGCTATATATGAATTTTTATGAGTATATAGAACAGTTCAAAACCAAAAGAACTACAGCAGGATGCCAAATCATTTTTCCTTTTACCTATCACAATCAGATCAAAGACTAAAGGAAAAAAATATCTTGATTCAAATATATTTGAAAACACTTTCAAATATATTTGGACGTGCTAATACCACAGAATCAAGTACAGCTGCAAATGGAAACCAATAAATGCTAGAAAATGGGCCAAGTCCCCGGTTAATAAGCTTTTAAACCATTAATATTTTTTGTCAGCATTCTTGACAATGATTTGTAAGTTACCCCAACAATACTAAAACAATGGTCAAAGGTCGCAATCTTGGCTCAAGTCCTAACCCCAAAATAATCAAGTTACACTACAGCTATGTAAAATAACACACACTTGGAACTTGTCAAGATATAGATATCAATAAAATATTAAGCATTATGTAATCATTCCTCGCATATGATTTAATAAGAAGTTTTAGTCCTGCAAAACAAACGTCAAGCACATTCTCGGTCTAACTCTAAATGAGACGGATGTGCTGCTTGGCAGTAAGGGTGATTCATGGTGTCAAGTGAAACAATGATCTTAAATTCACAACACCGAGGAGTACGTAAGCCTTCAAACTCCTTTTATTGATTCAATAATGGAAGCATAGAGATTGATTATGAACAATATACTTCGGTGCCATCAAATACATAGATCATGAAATCATCCCTACTTTACCATCTCAATCACGTACTCCACCCAGCCTACTTGATGCTTTGTTATCCTAAAAACAGTCAACTGGAAATCTTGCATCACAAACAATGAAGGCAGATTGGCTGAAAAAACAAAGGACCCATGATTCTGCAGGGAATGTTCGTAGTAACTGAATATGGTGCGACATGAAACTGGTGTTTAAAATGTTCAGGGCTCCACATGAAAACACCACAGTTTTTCCAAATTTCCACAGTTCTTCCAAATTTCCATGTCGTTTTTTATTGGATTTGAAAATTTTAAACTCTACAATTCAGCTAAGTCCATGAAATTGAAATCAAAATGTATTACCCAAATAGAACAATTTGAATAACATACTGCTAGTTAGATTGACACAGTGATAGCTGAATTCCACAAAAATTTTCAGATTTATTGTTTCAAGCAGACCCGAAGATGAAGCAAATTGACAACGAAAACAGAACCCCATAAAACCTGATTAAGTTGTCTACAGAGTTTTTAATAGGCACACGTTCATCCTTAGAAGTCAATATTTCAGAACTTAATTTATTTGTAATAAAGAGACTTGTATTTGAGCACTGCAGAGAAAGGTTGGGCATGGGTAAGCTCCAACGCCTATGTTGCAATTCATTTCAACCAATGTAGGAGGCACACATGTCACAATTCATTTCATTTTTAAGCCGCCATCAAAGCACCTCGCATTGAAATTAGAACATCGACACATCAAAAAGGTGTCAGTGTCTTGATACATGTGCTTCTCAATATCGATGAATTAACCATGTAAGAGGGATTGTGCCATTTATATCCTTCATTACCAAGTCAATTTGACAATATTTAATTTACGATAATCATAATAAAATAAAATAAGATATAAATTCTAAAAGTATATATAAAGAAAAGAAAATAAAAGATGTTTTCCCCACACAACTAATTTTAATTTTAAATTAAGTTGTGAAAACCAGATTCTCATAGAATAAACAAGAAATCAAGAATTTTCACCATTGTCTGAAGTAGGCATCAAGAACTTAAAAGCATGAGAATGTTTTTAATTCCTGAGACAAGCTACTGACCTACTGAAGCAGTGTTTGTTTCAAAAGAAGCAAGTACAAGTACAGCAGACCAATTATATATATATATAAAAAAGCCTATTCCAAAATCACGTGACTAAAAAATGCTTTAAGTACTAACAGACTTAGGTGATGATTGAACTTTGTTTTTATTGACAACATTGAGAATTTAGATGTCATACCAACAACTTTTCCACTATGTCACAACAGCTTTAACCTAAAGTGACTATTGATTCTGTCTTCTTTCGTTGACAACTTCAGATAGCCTTCAAACTCTTCTGTTGGGATTTGACAAATATCTGCTAAAGCTTGGTTCGAACTACTGTATCAGGAGACTATGTAAACATACTCATTTTGACTTCATTCAGTTTCAATATCTAGAACTCAGTGAAGCAGTCTATCCTAACTAATTGGATCAGCTAAAATTTACTCCCAGAAATTAAGCACGGGGCACTGTTGAAGGAGTGTGGAACTCTTAGAACTATTACTTTAGTCAAAGGGGCAGAAATATCCTCTGCATTATGTAAGTCTGGAACATAAGAAGAACATACAAGAAAAGTACATGAGGGCAATTGCTTTACCTGGAGTTATTGGTATTGGCAGCTGGTGGAGTGGTTTGGAAGTTGGATGTGTAACTGAGAAGGTGTTGCGGATGGTTCACTATTACAAAAGAGAAGGTATCTTGTGTAGTGAAGAAGCTAATTATTGCTGTTACTGTATCATCTTTGGATCAAATTTGCCAAGGGAGAAAGCAGTAGGATATGTATACTAATTCACAATATCTTTGAATTGTATTCATATGTAAAGGAAGATAGATTCTATTGCAAATTGTTTAAGAGTGGCCATTTGTCGTTGAGGTTTCTCTTTTTGGTGACTAGCTTAGTGGAGGTCAATTATAAAACCTTACACTATTTTACCATGGTGCTTTGCCATACATGACAACAGCAGGCAAATAGTAACATCTGTTTGACCAATTAGACTATTTCTTGATTTGGTTGGTGGTGCCCCATTTGAGTTTTGACAAGTAGTTCCTCTCATTCTTCTATGTTATGGACATATGGTCTGACTATAACATTTCTTACTAAAAAACCAAATAAAAATCTTGTTATGTCAACAATTCAATGTATGTGTATAGGCATGCACACTTTATGTACAATGCAACCTAACTCATAATAGTTTGAGGATCAATGTTGACGTGCATGATAGCTTGATGTGGAGTTCTAAATTGTGAAAAATGCTAACAAAGGCTGGAATCAGAGTAAATTGAATGAATGACTCCGAGGTATGGCTGCTACTACTGTGTTCGAAGTCATAGAAGGCAAGAAATGGTATGATGTTTCTTGTAAAGTGTAGACCATCAATCTTCTGTCTATCAAAAACTGCATACATTGCAACAATTCAATGTATGTGTATAGGCATTCATACTTTATGTACAATGCAACCTAATTCATATTAGTAGATGAAATATCAACTAAAAAGGTCAAGACAACTGCACTTTTAATCCAGACAAAGCTTTGGATTATAATATTCAACTTAAAGAGTTGCATGACTGTAGTTATTAAAACAATGAGTCCTAGGATTAAGTTAGTTCGTAAAAGAGGAATTTCGTACCTATAACTTGGTTTGGTCCATTTCTTCTTTCCACAAAGCTCATGTACTTTCTGTTTTGCTCCTTCAATCTCATTAGTTCCATTGAATTCGGTACAGAAGTCGAAACTCATTTTGTCATTGACTTTTAAATGTGACAGTTTGCCCAAAGCAGCCCTTGCTGCATGAAGCTTTGCGTTTTCCTTTTGCTCAGAAGAACCGGAGGCAACAAATTTTCCATCCACATAAACGCTAGCAATGTTCTTCTCCCCTTTCCTCCAATGTTTTATATCTACTTGCTTGCCATCTTTTTGGCACAGCTCGAAAAGCATGGTTACCGGCTGTGGTTCTTGTTGCAATTGGTCAGGTGTAACAATGGGCTCCAATAGCCCTCTAATGATCTATAGAACATGGAAAAATTATACATCAAGACAAAATAAAATAACATCAAACCATCCCTTTAAGTATGAGAGTCTGTCATTAATTCAGATGTCCATTCCAAACCCAATTTTCTTCAAAATTCCAAAAGTTTTTCAAAAAATTGGATGGTAGAAATTTGTAGAATTATATTCTAAATATGATGTTTTAGTTGTGACGGCTAGATATAGAGTACCAACATGACATTACATGGATACAGCAATACGACAATTATATATATATATATAATAAATAATGTAAAATAAATAATTTGTTTAATTTTACAACGAAAAAATCTTGCAAGGGTAAGGCAATTGTTTTTTTTTTTTTTTTCCTTACCCTTTTTCATCAACTAGTCCAGTAGGATGAGCCGAGCTTTCAAGCTAGGCTCTTGGTAATTATCAGCTCAGCAAGAGCCTTACCTGACAACGAACTCGTTATCAAAATAAATTTGTATAAAATACCAAGCTGCTCTGAGTTTGACTCAAGATGGTTCGGGAGATAAAAAGGCCCAAAATTATCTTTTACGAGTTTGCTAATTTGCCGACCTAGTAGTCGGCCAAGCAAGTTCAGAGTCCAAATTCATCATACAATCAAAATCAGAACTTCCTCGCTGTTAAACAAATTAAAGCCAAATTCATCATGCAATCCAAATCGGAACTTCCTCAAATTTCAACAAATTAAAGAAAGACTCGAATAATAAATAACAACACTACTCACCACCCAAAGAGCTTTCAAATCAAATTCACAATCAACATAAACCGCAGCAGCCACAGACTCAACAATGTCAGCTAAGACTTTAGGTGCTTTCATCGATCCCCCATACACTACTGCATCGTCTTCTTCTTCCACCGCTACCACAAAATCCCTAACCTAAAAAACAAAACTCCATCAAAAATCAATACTAACCCATATATATATACATAATAACAACAATTGCGATTATATAAAATACCTTTTCATCCAGAGCCGCTGCGTTGTGGCGGACATATCGATAGAGTCTGTGTTGGACGGCGACTCGGGCCAACTTTTCCGTGCTGATGTTGGCGGCACGGATTAGAGATAGTTGACCCGGATCAAGATCAGGGTAACTTAGAAAAACAAAATTGGAAATAGCAAGACCCAAAGCAGCATCACCGACAAACTCCAGTCGCTGATAAGAGGGGGAATCGGTGTAAGAAGAGTGAGTCAAAGCTTCCTCTAACAGCTTCTTGTTCTTGAATCTGTAGTTGAGAAGATCTTCTACAGCCCTAATCGAAGTGCTCATGTCCGTTATATATTCGGAATCAACTTCGCTATTGACAGTGCAACTGTACATGCTCTTGTAATCTTGGATACGCATTTCGTGGCGCGGAGAATCTAATAGTCCGAGTAATTTGATTGTAGCTTCTCTACTGAGTCGCCTCCATGAGACTTTCTTTTTTGGTTTTGCAAGTTTGGCTCTTCGAGTAGTGTGGGATGTTGAATTTGAAATCGGACTGTCAACTCAGGATATATTTCGGAGTGTTTTGTTTCCATAACGATATATTACAGCACTCATTTGGAAGGTTGGATTTCAAATCGGATTGCCAACTCCCTCTATTTGAAATTTAGAATGGATTCTACTTTATTGGAAAATCTCATATAAGTTACAATCTTAAATAGGATTGAAAACTCAAGTAAAATAATCACTAACTAGTCAGTTTTAGAATTTTCTATAATTAATCCATCAAAAACTCGACATCATCCAAAAGGACCAAAACACACACGAAGTCTTCTGTTTTTTTTTTTTTTTACTACTAAATTTTAGATTATTCTAAACATACCCTAACTAGTCAGTTTTAGAATTTTTATTTCGTGGGAAATTATTTTCGAAGTGAAAAGTTTAGCTACCAACAAAAATGCTAGTAACTAAAATTTTTATAAGATAGACGTATTTTGAACTTGAACTTTAATTCTTGTAAAATGTTAAAGTTAACTCCATTTGTGTTACCATGAATTCATACCTAAAGGTGTCACGAAAAATTGAAGGCACAAACTCCCAATAGAGGACTCATCATGATAGCAATTTCTCATGAAAATAAATTTGGTAGAATTGAGAGAGATCATTCAGATATCATATATAACTAATAAAACCTTAATAAATACTAGTAATATTTATGTATTTACATCACATAAATAATAAACATTACATATATCCAATGTTCATGAGGTATCACCAGTAGCCTAACCCAAACAAAAATTCTCAGTTAAGAAATTTGTATCCCACATCAACTGGTTGGAATATCTCAAGAACACTAAAGTAGCATAAATAAACTAACTAGACAATGAATTACATAAATATCTGTAACAGCTTATTATGTCAGTCTTATCTTCCTCTCACCACATCCCACACCCCACACACATATTACTAAATTAACCAATAAAATCACCCTAGATATGGGTACAAGTAACAACACTTGCAATGCTCTGGGTACAGGTAACAACTGAAGGTACATACGACCAATTTAGTTCACCAGCAAATGATCAAATCCTCCCCCACCCTGTAGAGCAACCCTAGGCCCTTGGACATTGTGAAGCAACTGTTGAAGCCACCTTCTCGCTGTTGGATCTTCCTGATAACATAAAAAGATTGAAAATAAAAAAAATCCACCTAGTTGAACAACAAAGAGATGCAGTGAAGCAAAATAGTATATCCTTTATTCCATTCTACACCAGCATCACAATTTATATAATAATATTCAACCAGCGTTGGAAATTTACAAATAATCGAAGTCATGAAACAACATTGACTTGTCAAATGCTATGAAAAATAGAATAAATTTCATTTCAAATTCAAGGTGAAGAAAAGATGAAACCATCTCACATCGTATCTGACCATATAACCAATGACTGCAGGGGCACCCCCAAATGTGAAATAATCACCCAACCTTAAACCTAAACACAAACTTTACACTAATCTCAAAGGAGTTCCTCAGGGCTTTTCTGAGAGAATCATCACACAATTGAGAAGAGGAGCCTGCCTTCAGTAGAAACCAGAAGTCTTGTGTTTTCTAACCCGCCTCCGTGAATGATAGGACAAGATCATGACCATTGAGGCTGAGGAAGAAACTGATCTTTCAACAGTCGAGTCGAAGTCCACGACTGGAGGACCCCTATGATAAGGTACCTGCAGAACCCACATTCAACGACTGAAAGGAAAGTCATATGGTTGGCACACAATCTCCTCGATGGCACGCTTTACAAAAGAAGTTCTTATGACCAAAATCTCCTGAGATGCTTGGGAAAGCAGGAATCCCTTAAGCCATGGGCGAGGTCCATAAAGGTAATAAATAAATAGGCAACCTTCCTGACCTTTTATAAAGATAAAGTAAGCCTACCACTATCGTGAAGGCATCCAAAGTGGTATAATTCTTACTGTTGAAATTAAATATATATGTACATCATCTACATAGGCTATCCATATCTTGCAGCATAAATCACCAAAGGGCAAAGAGTAATGTGACATTTCCCCTAGAGTTTTTCAACCAAAAACCAGAACTATCTCACAATTACAGTAGTGCCTAAACAGTATGGAAAATATCCAGGAAAAGCCATCCAAATCCTAGTGAAATTGACATACTCAAACACAGCGCAATAAATAGGAACCTGAGCACAATTTATGAAGATCCAAACACTGGAATACTTGTACGCACCACCCCTGAAGAAAATAAGTGTATATAGCCAAAGAACTGAGCACCATATATAAAAGACCCTGCTGTTGCAAACTCGTACACTAACCCTCGAGTAAAAACAAATTAATAACAAAAGAAACAGGCAAATAAAGAGTTCCCATGTGAAAGGAAATATAACATATCTAGATAACAGGAGTATCCAATCCATCCCTTTCGCAATAATAAAATTAACAAATATATAGGGTAACAATATATATCAAGTACGATGATGTCAAATTCACAAACAACATGAGTGCTATTATGGAGTATAATTGTCTTCAGGACCCCATTTTATGCATGCTTGTTTTCTATGCATTTTATGTCACATAAATAGCAACATAACCAAACTTTCCTAGAAACTCTTGGGATGAATAAAAGTTGAACTGCATACGTTTTTTTTTCGCTGATAATTAAACTGCATAAACTTCAACAACTGTACTTACACGAAGGCAACTATTGAAGGTGGCATCTCTTAGCATATCTGGAAGGCAACTTCGTAATGCATCACAAGCCCTGCGTTATAAAGACCAATAGGCACGGCCTCAGTAAACATCAACATTGTTATCAAAGAAGGGGAAAAAAAACAGAAGGCTCTGGCACACTGTATAAATTGTAAGATTTTTTTCAAATTAAAAAATTTACCAACCTCGGATTATCAGATAATCGAAGATAACAACGAATAATATGTTTTAACAGCCTTGATGAGGGTTGTTCAGCAAGTGCTGCAACCATATTCCCCAAAACTCGACCTACTGCAAAAAACCGCTCTGCTGTGGTACATATATAATCCAAGCCCACGTCATCCAGTAGAATTTTTTGAACTATAAATGTTGCAACCTGACAACATAAACTTTAATAAGACTTCAAAGAACCTGAATGTCAAGTCTGGTGCTTGCAGGAAGAATTTGGTTGAGTTCATAACCACGCTGGCAACTTTTGTACGATAAGAACTTAAAAATTCCAAATCTTAATATTAGAAACATGTTTAGATTTAAAGGTAAATTACCCTGATCATTCGATTAAAGATTTCAAAGAAACTAATGAAGAGACCTACTAAAAATAGTGAATCTCCAGTGAAAGGTACCATGTACTTCAATCCATTGTAATTTGCTTCAATCCTAGGTTTCTTGACAATCACATTATCTATGAAGGTGGACTATTTCAACCAAATAAAAAGTATTTGTCCTCAGGTCCACATGTCAAGCCCAGCACAATGTCTAACAGCCTCTACCAAGCGAAGAATCATCACTAGGTACAAGAGTAACACGACATATAACCTACTTTTTTACTTCAAAGGGATTTGCCATGCTCACTACTACTGCAGCATCTATTTTCTAGAACACCAAGGGAATCCAAAACTGAGTTCCTGCTCTCTTAAAAACCAATCACATTCCATCAACCAAGATGCTTGTTAGAATTGATACATGTTGGACCGATTGTCATATGATCTGCTGTAGGCCTCCTAAAAATCCGTAGCACGATGAAGCTAAAACAATATTTAGCTATTCTGTAACCTATTTATCTCTGCAAGATGAGCTACTAAAAGCAAATAAATCTAACATATTATTTGGGATAATCACATAAAGAGCTTCTTTGTGAAAAATAGTTCTAAAAAATTGAAGTGAATGTAAGGATGAGTCCTATTTTTCCTTCCCAAGGATCAATAAGTCCTAATAACTTCTAATAGGACCGACAAATCCAGCTTTTGTAAGATTATTCCATACAAATATAATTTTTTTATATTTCCTGCTTAATTCGACATTAAAATTATGGTCATTACATTAATTTGTCATCAAACATAAATTTTCGATTCATTAATTAATGAACAAATAAAGTTTAACACAAACTCTAACTGCTTGAACTCTGAAAGTTACAACTAAGTATGAATGAGATGAATTTTAAAATCATTTTATATTACGTTAAATTTTTCATTATAATTAAGTTTTTACTTTTTGTTATAATGTGTAATTGATCAATTTTAAGATTCTTTTTTCCCAGTATTTTCCCAGTATTTTCCCTTCATCCGAATTATTAAAATTTCTTCCATTTGAGGGCACCCAAATTAAATCAGCTAATATTGAAGTTTGAATGAAAAGTATGTACAGAAAATATTGCCAAACTTTTAAAGTCTGATGAATAAAAATTAAAAAAAAAAAAAAAAAAAAGTAGATTATTTAATATGAAATAATTATGTGGAAAACCAAAAAGGAATAGATAAACTTTCTAAAATCTAGAAATCATGAACAAGGACTTAAAAGAAATTTCTTGTTTGGTTTCCCAAATTGGATCATACAATAAGCAATTCTACCTAGTTGAACAAAAAAATGAAAGATTAGGTGCTACAAAAAATAAAAAATTGTGTTGTATCTCATCTCAAAGTTCAAGCTGATAAATTCAAAGAATCTTGCAGATATAATTATATAGAAAAATGTCCAATTTAACAATCTCAAATAAGATTCAAGCAAAAAGTTCACACAATATAGTTAAGTTAAAACAAAATGAATAATCAATAAAAACCTAAAATATAGCACAATTTACATCCGGAAATTTCAAAAAAGGTCTAATATTGTGAAAATATCATTTACTAGTTTATGATTTGAACTAGTTTCATCTTGTTTAAACTGAACCGTAAAATTGTCTACTAAAGACGGTAAAATTGGAAGCCAAACACATGATGTGCTAATGTGGAATCATTTTTAAGTAGGACTTTTTGGTGGTCCTACAAATTCAGAGTCTTATTGGTCCTTAAGTGGGCTTTTCCAGAAATTTCTAACAAACACTTCCTGTTATCTGAGACAGGAGCCTACTATTGGGAAAAAGAAGATGAACAAAATTCTTATCCTCGTATCAAATTCACGCATACCTATGACTGAAAGTAACATTCAGAATTTACAAAGCTATAATCTGCAGTAAATAGACACAGAAATGGTAAATTTATTGGTATGTACGTAAAGAAAAAATAAAATTTGAAAAATGCATTAAGGAAACACTCAACCGTCTTTGATAATTCACTGCCCATTTCCATCGTACGAAGGCACAGTGGAATTATTTCAGTCGAGAGAAGGAAACTAATAACCTCTGTGTCGTCGACCTGAAAAAGAAAAAGAATGAGACCCTCTGACTAATATGAACAAAAGCATAAAAACTAGTGCTACCAAGTGCATTCCATGAGAGAGAGAGAGAGAGAGAGAGAGAGGAGGGGGGGGGGGTTTGTTTACAGTGCATTAAGTTGGAAAACATTACTGCAAATCAAGTGCATATGTGCAAGTATACATAATGGGTATTTGGCATTAAAGTACCCAAGTCAAACAAAACTAATACAGAAAAACCATGGAAAATTTTGACTTGGGTACTGTGTCTTTTATGAATGCCAAATACCCATTATGTTTTCTTGCACATATGCACTTGATTTGCAGTAAACATAATGGGTATTTGGCATTCACAAAATAGTGTACTGAAGTCGAACAAAGATGATGCAGGAAAAGTGGAAAACCATGATATTGGCCGCTGTTACCTGCTCAATGGTGACATTTGAGGGTCTGAAAAGGGGTAAAAACAGAAAAAGAAGTATGCAGCTAAGTAACAAATATTATATATAATACAACACATATTTGTTTTAGATCCTCATAATGGGACCCCTAATACAGAAAACCCATGATATGGCCAGCTGTAACCTGCCCAATATCATCAAACTTGAGGGTCTGAAGGGTAAAAGGGAAAATGAAGGACGCAGTTAAAGGAACAAATGCAATATATAATCCTACATGCCTTTGTTTCATATGCTCATCATGGAACTCCTTAAGATCGTATGAATCAGATAGTACGGAATTATTCTTTTGGCTGCAATCATTGTCTTATTATAAGCAGCTGTGCGTAGTAGCAAATCGGAATTTTCTTCTCTTCTTCTTCTTCTTCCATTTTTATTTTTATTTTGGAACTACACGTTTTGTCAGATTATGTCCATCAATATAGTTTTAACTCAATATCTGCCAAACCAAAATAATATAATAATTAAAGAAAAAGAAAAAATAATAATTATCATCTAGAAAACACAAGTTATAAAATTATGTTAAGTTGAGATTTCCAGAAGCAATAACACATGCTGAAACTAATAAAAAATGTCAAATTTGTCAGCAAATGTTAATTGAACGCCTAGCCACTTCCCAAGCTCAGGTTCATGACAAGAAAAATGATTTTTCCAATGCATCACAAACTAGCAACTGAATGTTTCCCAATGCCAGGCCAGCAGATAAGAGGCATGCAAGTAATTGTTGCTAGATCACAAGTTGCAATCTGCCTGATAACTTCGTTCTAAACATATATGATATGCACCAATCTTTTCCAATCGATGCATTTTTCAATATGTTATGCACCTCTGAAGATAAAGTGTTTCAGAGTAGGATTAAAAAGGGACACGAGTATATGCATGACTTATGGAAAATAATGTCAGCAAATACCTTCACCAGAGCACCAATGACGCCTAAGCTAGTAAGCCTCAAGTACTCAAAAGGCCTTGATTTGCTGGTTGTATTAAGGAAAGGGTACAGGTATAAAGGAATATGGGCTGCAAAGGAGAAAAGTTCAGTCAACAATTTAATAAAAACTCAACAGACTTCAGTGAATACATGCATCTAGACAAAGAACTAACCATGGAAAGAATAATCCATCTGTATTACCCTAATCATAAAGCTCATTGAGAAAGAACTTTATAGACATCTGAAGCACAAAGCTAAAACTCAGCGCAAAGATTTATATGAAAGCATTCAACCATCAGGGGCAAAAACCAGTATCTTAAAATAAAAAGGGGTAAAAAAGATGTCAGCATGGCAGCTGACAAGGGACCTTTATACATCGAGTCACACTGATGAAATACAATCCAGAACTTGCAAGCCATGTACGAAGCTCAGAGAGAGATAAATCCCACAGAATATGATTTTATCTAACAGGACAGCCTAAGACGCATGGGTAACTCTAAAAAGTATGTTTGTATCAGCACATGTTAGACATGGACACTTCTCATTCACTCTTGAACACGTCCAATACATCTTAAATGTGTCCATAAAATAAATTCTTCATTTCAGACAGCCGTCACATCTAGAACATGTTTTAACGTCTAGACCACCTTGTACTTTACATATTTTTTTACATAAATAAGTGTGTAACCATATACATACACAAATATAGTGTTGTCCTTGTCATCTTTCTCTATGTGAAAGGTTTATTATAATTATATGATCAAATATAGTGTTCTTCATATCTTCTTTCTCATGTCGTGTAATCACATGTGCTTATTCTATTTTTTAAAGTTTTGTGTGTCAATGTGTATGTGCCGTGTCCAAATACATGCTTCTTAGAGCACACTACTAACAAAGTGGTACAGGCATCCAACGTGGATAACACAAGGTGTTTGCCATGCAAAACAAACAGAAACTAGACAAGTGTCAAGTACAGGTGCTGACTATGGCGTCTAGCATGCCACAAGAGAGCCAGATGATCTGTATTGTAGCCTATGAAGCACGGACATCGCACCAAGATAGGACACGATACGACACAAATATACTGACATGGCAAATTCTAAAAAAGGAGGACATGACAACAATATAGCAATAGGAAAAAAAATTATACATAGAATACTGCTATATACAATATTAATTATTTTAAAGCAACTTAATGTAATATTCTGTGACTATAACATGAAATAAATTTATGAATAACAATAATAAATAATCACTAATGTTGTGTACTTATATAGATGAAGATAACACGAAGGACATAATATGTGGTCATGCACGTGTTTATGAATCTATACATATACACATGATTTATAGTGACTCCTCTTTTCCTTCTATGGGCACTTCCCTGTGTAAACTTTCTTGCATCGCAACTTTTTTGTGAAAAAACATGTCAAACGATTTAAAATAGTTTGAATTAGACTGAAATTTGGGTCTTCTTTGTAATTATACCTTTTTCTGAACATACTAAAAGAAATAACATTTTCAGTGTCCAAGGTTTGTTTGTCACATGCTGACAAATGTCCAAGAGGTTCATGCTGTATTAACAAAATTAAAAGTTTTATGTTCAAATCATGGAAGCATAAACTTGTCCATCTTGCCGAGCTGGGGCAAGACATGGAGTCTTTACGCTCTAGAAGAGCGTCTTGTCAAGCGATTTTTGTGGAGATTGCTGTTATGGAGGAGATTTCATGGGTTCAGAAATCTCCGGCACTATGGCTTAAAGAAGGTGACCGTAATACAAAATTCTTTCACAGACTTGCTAATGCCCATAGAAGATGTAATCACATCGGGCGTATCCGTGTGAATGGTACAGAGTTGTGGAGAGAAGATGAGGTGCGTGGGGGAATTGTTTCTTTTTATCAGCAGCTTTATATTGAGTCTTTGGAATGGAGACCTAAACTTGATGGGTTGCATTTCAATTTTATTTCTTCGCTGGATAGTGACGGGCTTGTGTTCCTTTTACTGAAGAGGAAGTTCTTAAGGCATTAAGGCGTTATCTAGTTGTAACGGGGATACAGCTCCAGGCCAGACGGTTTTACTATGCGATTTCTTAAGGAGAGCTGGGAGGTGGTGCGCAGTGAGGTGATGAACACCTTTCAGGTTTTTCATTCTCATGGCACTTTTGAGAAATCTTTGAACGCTTTTTTTATTGCCCTTATTTCTAAGAAGGGTAACGCCTTTGATATTAAGGACTTTAGACCAATCAGTTTAGTGGGTTGCATGGACAAGCTTATCGCCAAAGTTCTCGTTCTTAGAATGCGGAATGCATTGGACGGAATTATTTCAGAAACACAAAACGCTTTTGTTGGGGGACAGCAGATCTTGGATTTTGTCCTTATTGCAGGGGAATGTGTTGACTCTAGGTTGAAGAATGGTGTTCCTGGTATCTTATGCAAACTTGATATTGAGAAAGCCTATGATCACGTGAATTGGAAGTTTCTTCTTTACCTGCTTTGGAGGATGGGGTTCGGAGATAGGTGGATTAAATGGATAGACTTGTATCTCGTCCGTCATGTTCTCGATGCTTGTGAACGGATCTCCCGCTGGTTTTTTTGCGAGTTCGCGTGGTTTGAGACAAGGGGACCCCCTATCGTCCTCCTTTTTTCTTATTTTCATGGAGGGGTTAAGTAGATTAATGAAAAGCGCTGAGGATTTGGGTTTTATCAGGGGTTTCAGAGTTGGTAGAGAAGCTGCCAATCAGATAGAGATTTCCCATTTGTTGTTCGCAAACGATACCTTGGTTTTTTGTGATGCTGATGTATCTCAATTGAGATACTTGAGGTGCATTCTTACTTGTTTCCAAGCGGTGTCCAATCTTAAAATCAATGTGGGAAAGAGTGTGATTGTTTCAGTGGGGGATGTTCCAGATATCTCCTCTTTAGCTGCTGTTCTTGGATGTGGAGTGGGTGCTTTTCCACTTCCTTATTTGGGACTGCCTTTGGGGGTTTCCTCCAGGATAGTGGGGAGTTGGGATCCGGTCAATATGTATGAAAAGAGATTAACAGGATGGAAAAAACAGTATCTCTCGAAAGGGGTGAAGGTCACTCTTATTAAGAGTACCCTCTCGTCCCTTCCCACTTATTTTTTATCTCTGTTTCAGATTCCATGCTTTGTGCTGAACGGATTGAAAAAATTCAACGTGACTTTCTTTGGGGTGGAAGAGGAGAGGAATTCAAGTATCATCTTGTTAATTGGGACCAAGTTTGCAAACCTTTGAAATTTGGTGGATTAGGCATTCGGAAGTTGGTCCCTTTCAACAGAGCTTTATTGGGTAAGTGGTTATGGAGATTTGGTAAAGAGCGTCATCATCAGTGGAGAAGAGTTGTCTCGTGTCGATTTGGGGAGGAGAGTAGGGGTTGGTCCTCTCGTCCTATTTCTGTCACGGGAGGCGTTGGCATGTGGAAATTAATTCAGAAGGGTTGGGATGTGTTTTCCACCCACATTAGATTCAAAGTTCGCAATGGTAGGCACGTTCGCTTTTGGGAAGATTTGGTAGTCTCTTTCTTTTCCTCGCCTCTTCAGTATTGTCGAAAACAAGCATTCTTATGTAGTTGATTGTTATCATCTTGATAACAGTGGGGTTATGTGGGATGTGCGTTTTAGATGCTCTTTTCAGGACTGGGAGTTGACAGAAGTTTGCGCTTTTTTGGCCTTGCTGTATAGATAGAAGGATGTTGGCAGAGGTTGTGACGATATTTTGTGGGTGCCTTCCCCTCATAGTAGATATGGAGTACAATCCATGTTCATGTGTTTGTCCAACTTTAATGGCCATGAATTCCCTTGAAAGTCTATTTGGCGCTCTAAAGCTCCTTTTAGAGTTGCATTTTTTGTTTGGACTGTCACCTGGGGAAAGATTTTGACATTGGATAATTTGAGAGAGAGGGGTAATACCATTGTGAATTGGTGTTGTTTATGCAAAACAGATGGAGAGTTCGTGGATCACATTCTCATGCATTGTCCTGTCGCGTTTGATTGTTAGAATTTAATTTTCAGCATTTTCAGTGTTCAGTGGGTGATGCCTAACCACTCTTTTCAATTAATCAATGCATGGAGAAGATGTCCAGTTAAAGGTCATGCACGAGCTTTTTGGAGAATTGTCCTACATTGTGTTTGGTGGTGTATCTAGCGAGAGAGAAACAACAGAAATTTTGAAGGGAAATAATCAACTATTGCTCACTTAAAATCTCATATTCTCCATTCTCTTTTCTGTTATGTTAGAGGAAGCGCTTGATCCTCGATTGCTGATCTTTTTGACCTTTTGGATTCTATTGGTCCGTAGGGTTTTTGTTTTTCTGTATTAGGAATGCGTTCCCCTCTTGAACGTTTTTCTAATATATTTTACTTACCAAAAAAAAATCAGGGAAGCAGAAAAATTGTACAAGATATGTGTCCAGCAGTGCTCAAGAAGAGAAGTGGATGTGTTCTTAGGTTGTAGCAAATTTATTGTTCAATAGTGTAAACTAGCCATATGAACTAATACAATCAAGTATTTCTTCACTATGTATATTATATTGCACCTCTAAAGCTCTGTTTTGTATGAGTATGAAAAATTGGTAATTAAGGGAAGTAAGATGGATGGAAATTTGAGAAGGTTTTTTTTTTTTTTTTTTTTTTTTTTTTGGGGGGGGGGGGGGGGGGGAGCGGTTGTTAAGGTACATATTATTGGAAGACTGAATATTTAAAATCAAAAGGAGAGCCCTCTCCCTCCTTGCACTCTTTTGGGTGTAAAGAAGTTGGTGGACCCGGAGAGAAGTATCCCTCCCCCCCTCTTTTCCTTCCCTTTTGCTTCCTACTACCAATCAATGGAAACTCCCATTCTTCTAAATTCTAACCTGCCAAATGGACCATCTTGTTCAAGCAAATTTGGTTAGAAAAATTAATGCATATGATTTCAAGTATGAACTTTTTATGGAATTGCCAAGACTTCAGTGATGTCAAATGATTCTCAGTCAAGTCGAAACTGTCAGTAACCCTTGACATTTTTATATACAGTACTCCAAATTTGTGGTAAAATAATGAAGTTAAAGCCTTTATGTATTAACACAACCAATAAGATTACCATTGAGGAACAACATTCTTGTGTCTGGGTGAGAAGCAACACACTGCAAAATATATACATATAATAAATATAAATAGCGTCAGTAATGACTTCAAAGCAATCAAGACAAAATTCAACATTAATTGGCAAAATCAGAGCACATCTATTGCAGTTCAATCTAAGTAATATCAATAGCAATGCAATTGAGAATTCAACATAGCATGGCCATCATATGCAAAAAGCAAAAGGCTGATAGTTATTCCAATGATTGAATTCAATAAAAGCACTTTCTAGGAACTTCATTTGCTCTAGTTGTTGAGGGCAAAATCATGTAAACTAAACAATTCCACTTAAATTCAAGGAAGTGTTTAGAGACAACCATATATTTAGACGCAATTTTGAATTACAAATCTCACAACAGTAACAAGGAATGTGTTTTCTTCTTTTTCTTCATTTTTTTCCCTTTTTGGTTTTTGTAGGATACAATATCTTAAAAATTGGACAGACTGGCCAAATCACCTTGACGCACCAAAAATATGAAACTTAATTATTTTCAATAGCGTTCCTCATATTTGGTCACAAAAACATTTGAAAGGAAGAACACCACAACCAGCATTTGATATGCTAACAAATGTTTCTTTTTCTTTCTTTTTTTCATATGTGACCCCATGAACAAGTAAACCACAACCATTAACCTAGATTTTTTTTATCCATTTCGGTACAATAGTCAATCCAGATTCCACCTACTCCCAAAATAAAAATGAAAAAAATAATGAAATAGAATAAATGAATACTTCTTTTATCAGTATAATTTATGGCAGCATTGCTGAGCGGGAAGCAAGGGACTGCAATTCTATTTTGCTCAGTTTTCATAAAAAATTTACAGTATAATTTATGGAAGCATTGCTGAGCTGTAAAAGCAAGGGACTGATATTCCCTTCCAGTTTTCATCAATTTTTTTATCAGTATAATTTATGGCAGCATTGCTGAGCGGTAAAGCAAGGGACTGCAATTCCCTTTTGTGGGGTTTTCATCAATTCATGTAGAATAATAGTTGCAAAAATAACACACTGAACTTTCAACAATAGCAATGATATAAACTTGAGAAAGGAAGAAATTATACCTGAAGAAGGGCAAGTGCATTGCAGACCCGGTTAGATTGTGCAGGAGTCAAATTTGGCGGTGATAGAACAGGGTATATCGAAACTATCTCCTGCCATGAATTGAAGAAACCGGAGGTGATAAGAAATTCTGGTATCAATGAAAGAGATGAGACATAACATGACAGGTACCCAGCTATTTGTTTAAAGGTTCAAGAAATAAGTATTGGCGTCATATCTTCCAATCACGATTCATTGCCTATAAATAATAAACTTCAAGTCCTCGACGCTCTCATTCCACTCTTCTTTCAATTCGCATCCCGTCAAACCATTTGCTATTGGTAAGCCAAGAAAACAAGCTTGCCATCAGCTTTGTACTTTATAACCTCGAACTTGTAGGATTTCTGAATATAGGTCTATATATCACTACAAGAATCACCTATCTGTTGAATGATTGCCAATTGATCAAGCTTTGAAAGTCAACACTTTGTTAATGTTTTACTTGTTTCTATAAATTGGAGTAATAATTTGATTCCTGATTCAGTTACTCATACCACGTGTTTCCAAATAAGGACTAGATTGCCTCATATCATAATATTAATAGTGGTATTTTTTTTTTTTTTTTTAAGTAGTGGTATTGTCTTAGTTTGGACACAACATACCCCATTAGTTGGGAATAAAGACAACAAATGTTATGATGCATGATGGTAATCCTTGACAAATGGTCAACACGCTCCATACTAAAAGATGTTCTCATTTCTTTTGGCACTCTGCACTATAGCTTATAGATGCAAGTAGACAGCTGAAAGTGGAGTAAAGTCTTCAAGGTCCCCCTTTTGTGATGAAAGGGAATAAAAAAGATATCCGTTTTCTTTAGGATTTAGGGGCGGCATTTCTGAGTTACTAGGGCTTGTAAGTGAGTGAAGCACCCATATAGTCACGTAGCACCCATGCAGGACACATAACACATGACATTTAGGCATGAGTATGATTGTGCGTTCAACAGGTCTGTTCAGATATGCATCTAACAAGCATATTTGGAAATTCAAGTTCATTACACAAGTGTGCATAAAATACATAATATGTTCTTTTTGTTTAATTATTAATTCAAAATGTGTGAAGTCCCCATATTAAACACTCTCTGTTATATAAAGGCACCATTTTTCCCTAGAAAAATAAAAGAATAATATTAAAAACTAGAAAGAAAGTAGGTTCAGTGGATTGTTGTTATGAGTTGGAAGATTGAGTTTCTTTTACAGGAATCAGACTTGTGAGATGGTAAAACTGCCTAATTGCAAGAAGATTGTTGCAAATGGATCTAAAGGAACACTGGTTGAAGATGCAAGGAACAAGACATACTTGGTTGCAAAAGGACTAAAGCCAGAAAGAGCATTTAGACTTCTACAAAGTGTTCTCACCACTTGTAAAGCATAGCTCTGTTTGTGTATGGCTTGCTATGGTAGATTTGTTTGACATTATTACCAGAGCAACTCGATGTCAAAACAAAATTTCTTCACGTAGAGCTATAGAGCAGATATATATGCATCAGCCAAATGGATTTGTTATTCAGGAAAAGGAAATGTGCATTTGATTGTTGAAAAAACCCTTATATGGGATAAAGCCAACTCCAAGACAGTGGTACAAACAGTTTGATACATTTATGGTTGACTGAGATTACTTTAGAGTGAAGATCACACTTGTGAGTGTCAAAGGAAGCTCTAAGATTATTCTTTTAGGGACCTATCAAGCAGGTTATTCTTATTACTAAAAAAGTTACATTGAGAAGGTGCATGAACGTTTTGATAAATATGGGTCAGAATTGGAGTACTCCACTAGCTACATATTTCGGGCTTTCGGCAGTTTTGTCAACACAGACTGAGAAGAGTAGCACATGCCTCAAGTTCCTTATGCTAAAGTAGTTAAAAGAATCATGTATGCCAAAGTTTACATTCAAATGACATTTCACATGCTGGCAGTGTTGCTCGTAGATATTGTAAATCGACAAAAAATACATTGGCAAGCAGTGAAATGTGGATTTGGTGTCTGACAGGAGCAGTGACACTTTTGGTACTGTTGCTGGATTTCTATGTTTCGATTCTGTTCTGATTGTGCTTTGGATAGGAGACCTGTAACAGGACAAGTCCTTACTCTCTTAAATTGTGCATTTTTCATAAAGCAACTTTGTAGTCTACAGCTACCTCGTCCACCATAGAGGTAAAATTAAATGTGTTATGAGAGGAACAAGACAAATATGTTCAAAAAAGGCAATGAGTCTAAATGTTTCCTGCTCATGCCAAATAATTTATTGCTGTTAACTACACACTTATTATAATGAATATAGCATAATCATAAATAAGATGTAAACATTGATGTTGGATATCACTTCATTCAAGGGTCACGCCTCAGGGAGTTATCATAGTAAAGAAGATTGCTATAGCAAATAACCCAACAATATGATGGACAGGACTATTATTGCATTCATTGAGTTCCACCATCAGATTTGATTGGTTTTTGCAGCTATTGAAAGTATGTCCTATGGGACCTTTGTGGAAGAAGCCGGAGGGAAGACTTCTGTTTTGTGAAGATTGATGGAATCAAGATTTACTGTGATGGTGTCTTGCTATAATAAAACAAGGGGCCTTTCTCTGAGACAGATGGAAAATGAGTGGCAGCCTTCTCTAATTCTTGGCAAGTTCCAATGGTAACGCAGCCGAAACGACACAGTCATCTGCACTTTGCATTGGACTTTTTGTGGGTTCTCTTTTATATTTGGACTTGGTATAAGGGTCACATTTAGGGTCAGCAGTGAGAACTCATTGTTGTAGACGGGTGAGGGTTTTGTGAGATCAGGCAGCCACCATCTTGTATCAATTTCATCTCCATAGTGGAATTTTCTTCAATGTCTTCGATTGTCAAGGTAGGCTTAACTTAAGATGAACACCGAGAACGATTGTGTGATTTCACATCTCTACTCTGCTTATTTTGACCTTAATTTTAGATTTCTTAACAAGTTCATGGTGGTGTCAAGAGCATTTTTAATGAATTTTGGTTTCCTGGAACTTTACCATTCTAAATTCAAGATTTCTCCTGGACGCTGGCCAGCTTGTTCTTTTCTGAATCCTGTAAGCCCTTAATTTGGAGCAGCTCAAACTTAGCACGAAGCTAGTGTAGAGCGGATCAAGTTTGGGATAAAGTTCGTGGTAATTAATCAAGGTGACCTGAGATTGGAAATAGGTTGTGCTTTATCTCAACTCAATAACACCATGTGTTCTTCTCATGCTATGCTGATTAAAAGAGCACAATACAAATATAATGGTAAAAGAAAGCTAAGAGAGGAAGCATCCTTCAATGGCATCATTTGAGAATAAAGAAGGAACCAATGATATGGAAAAATTCTATGATTAATATAAACTAAGGGTGTGAAAATATATAAACAAAAATAGGACTGTATAAAGCATACCTGTAAGAGTGCAGCGATAGTACCAAAAGAATTCCACAATAATGGAGCCAAATCTTGAAATAATTCTCTCTTCTAAAAATTTAAAAATAAAAAAATAAAATAAAATAAAAATAAAAGTGAATTGAGCATAGCCATATAAGAGTTGCCAATAGAAATCCACAAGAAGTGAGCCAAATCTTGAAATAATTACTTGTTCTAAAGAAAGAAAATCAAAAGAAACAAGAAAGAAGGAGATATTCAAGCCTACTTTTCAATAGTAAGAGATCGATGTCACCAATACAATTAGAGCATGACACTGATATAAATCTAGTGTGTTTTGGTGTTAGAACCATTCCAACAAAATCAAAGCAATGTAGTAATCTTCCGAAAAGAAAAAAAACCAAAGCAATGTAACAACTAACATGTGATTAATAGGGGTGCCATTTTCCAATTCTGACATTAATACAGATTGGTGTTTCCACACTAGAAAATTGACAAATGTGATGAAAGACAAATAATTTTGTAATGAGGAAAGGAAGATCTACGAGGCAAAAAATACCATTATGTTTTGAATAATCAAATCCTGCTAACCAAGATATAATATGTGCAAACAGAATGACTAAATTAAGTGAAACAATCTTAAAACATAGTAAAAAGAGAAAAATGAGATCGTTGAGAATAATAATTAAAAAAAAAAGTCTTAAATTGGTACAAACAAATTGAAGCCAACTAAGAAAATGAGTACATTTATATTTTCTTTCAACTAAATGTTGGTTGTTGGCATTGCATGCGTCTCTATTTTTCATCAAAAGTACAATGGACTGCCCTGTTCCAGTCTAAAATTCAAAAATTATAAACTTCATCACTTTAAACCTAGGAACAGCTCATTTCCCTATTCGGGTACTTTAAAATCAATGCTTTCCGCATGAGAATTCTACATCAACAAAACCACAATAAGCTACAACCTATTTCACATGCTTCTTTCGTAAATTACAAATCACAATCCATCTTCATTTTAGAAATTCCCAAAAAAAAAAAAATTAGATCCCTTTAAAATTTACAACCAAAATCCATCCATGCATTCCCATCTTCATGAACCAATACAATCTAAAAACAAATACTCCCTTCGTCCCACTATAATTGTCCATCTTTTCTTTTTGGGTTGTCCCAAAATACTTGTCCTAGTTAATAAGTCCAACTAAGAAATATCTTTCCATAAATGCCTTTGAAGTTTTCGAAATTTTCCAACTTGTACAAATATATAAATTCAATCTTAAAAGGATAATTTTATAATTTTAAAAGGGGGAAAATGCATTAATTGCATGTCCTCTTAAAAAGTTGTACTCTCCAAAAGCGATAACTAATATGGGAATATGGGATAGAGGGAACATAAGCGAGAGCACACCAATTAACAATTTCAAGTTTAAGCAATGCATATTTCCATGAACATAACATATCAAAATGAATCATGGAAAGTTCAACATTGAATAAAAACTGATGCTGGACAACAGATCCACTACGAAAGAAGGCACGTCTACAGAAACTGCATCCATGTCAGAAACTAACAGCTCTTAGAAACTTCTGGACATGCGTAATGCATTAACATAATGGCTTTGGGGTAGTTGCATATATCCAGTGGTAACACCCCCGCTCAAAACTCTCAAGTGTCTGACGCATTGAATATTGCGATACTATTCTCATTTAGTGTATTAAAAAAGAATTCATGTGGCTAATCCCATCCATATGGGATAAAGTCAACGATGACGATGATGCCAAAATATGGTTGTATGAAAAAAAATATAATAAGGTACTGAATATTTAAACCAACTATTATAGCAAAAATATAGTGAGGACCACCTAGCTCTCTAGCAAGATTTATATCTTACCCTCTGAAAGAGGAGGATGGGGGTTCAAGTCCCAGACAAACTGGAAAAGACATTTATATACATGCTGGAAACAGAACGACAATAACCCATCAACATAGCTATTTACCCAAACATTTAGATACATGCCGAAGAGAAAACACCAAGTAGCTGGCCTATGGGAAATACTTGAGTTATACCCATAATCAATCCATGTGGGAAAGAACATATAAGCATCAGGGTTGTCTTCTTTTAGAAACGAAAACAACACAGAAAATAATATTAAGGTTGCTTTTCTTTTTTCCTTTCCCTAACTAATCTCAGCATCTAAACAGATTGCAGTGTGTAGTTGCTCACTCAAATACCTCAACTAACCCATTTCATAATTGAAGCTACAAACATCCAAAATTATATCAAAACCCTATCTTTCTCATTTAAATCACACTAATTAGCTCACTTAGGGTGAACATTCAAATCTTAATATAAAACAATAAATAAATTTTATCGCTTTTCCTTCATATTTTCAACTTCGGACGACATTTAGTTTCTTACCCAAAACATGTCGGTTACCAAATTGGCAGCAAACCATAACATATGTGAACTATAGAAAATAAATAAATATATAGATATATATATATATATATCTAAAGAACCCTAAATTGATCAGTAGGACTGAGATATTTATACATGTAAACACACACAGAATCGGGCGGTGTACATATAAACCTTGGAAAGTTCGAGAAGAGCGTTTTCTCTGAGATCAGGATTGCTGAGATCGAGCACCAACTGCTCAGCCGATTGCATTTTCCGTTCTTTGTTCGGCGGAACTCCGACGGCATTCGCGGACGAGTTTGGACCACCGAACGGAGCATTCATGGAGAGAGACTGAGGCAAATTGGCCATTTCAGGCTCTCGCTTTTTTTTTTTTTTTTCCTTTCTTTTCTGTTTCACTTTCTTTCCCTTCTTTCTTTCTCTCTTTCTTTCTAGCAGTTTCGTCCCTGTTCTGCGGAAATGGGTGAGTTTTTTTTTTGCTTTTTTACGGAAACAAAGAAGAGACCGTTGAAGTTTCTACTGTATAAAAGTAATATATAAGAGTTTTGGCGTAATACTACACGCGCCGTTGATGAGCGTTGATGTTTCTAGTCCTCCACGCCAGGTGTGCTACGGGCCGGTACCAAATGGCGTGACATGGTGTAGATAAAAAGCATTTTTTAGGGGCGCATTTTTTTTTTTTTTAAAAGCAGCACATCATAAGGTAAATTACACTACCCCGATGAGGTTTAGATAAGTACGAGATTTAGACAAAATACAGTGTTTATTATTTTAATTTTTTTCTAAAATTGCTCATAGTATATAACTTAAGTGTTAGTACCAACACCTAATAGTTTAAATTTTTTAATTAAATTGTGAAATTCGACCCCATTCAAACTTATATATATATATATAAACAAATCAAGCTCAAACTTGCTTTTGGCGCACATTTACAAAAAAGAGCTATTTGATAAATATTCAAATTGTTTTTATAACTTGAATAGTTTTAGTTATGTTTTTTATTTATTTATTTGAAATGTAATAGTTTTGTTCTAAGCATTTTTTTTAACCCATTCAATTTGTTCACAGTTAACTCATATATACTCATTTAATTTTCCATCCGAATATAATGTGGAACAAGACTTTTTTGGTAACATTCTCTTCCATCTAAATTTGCAACGCCTTCTTTGCAATCAAACCACTCTGCCTATTCGGATAGTTTAGCGTAATACCAAATTAAGAAATGAGTTTAACTCTGATGTCAATTGTAAAACTTGCAACGTCCTCTTTGCGGTCGGACAACTTTGTCTATCTAGATAGCTTAACGTAATACCGAATCAAGAAATGAATTTGACTGTAACACCAACCGCGATTCACGATTCAATTAAAAACCTCAAGTTAGGAGATGGATTAACACTTCACCGAACCTCAAGTTAGGAGATGGATTAACACTTCACCGTAAACTCATTTCACTGTCAAAAGGAAGAAAGGAAGAAAAACCAGAAAAACATTTTGACTTAGACCTGGTGCCCAGCTGTCACCGTCCTGAACTGACAATTGGATTGCAAATCCTACTTCGGAAATTGGGACCCACCTAAGTACATTACAAATACAGAATTTGATATACCATTAACGTCGTTGTCGTTAGTTGTTCCATTTCCATCCCATCAACACCAGTGATGAAGAGAGACCCCGACACCAACCTGAGACAATCTCTAACTCTCAAATGCCAAAACCACAATAAACATTGTTTCTGTTTCCAAATCAATAGTTTTGTTACAAATTTGGATGGGAGATAATGCTACAAAGAAAGCTTGAATAATTTGATCATAACATATAATTGTGACATATGATATGCGTATCTAAATTAAATCCATTCGTTAGCATGTCCCATTCAATCAATCCTTTTCGTTTTTTCGTTTTTGGCAGGCTTCATACAGATATACAATACTTTTATAGAGGTCCATTTATTCAAAATATAAGAGCATCTCCATTTGTTGGAATAAGTTTGGAAAAAACTCTCGCAGTATAAAGGTTTTAGTGGGACCGGTAGGAGATCCGGAAGAAATACCTCTCAATTGGTGATACCATATTGATAATATCATCAATATACACCAGCATTAAAGTATTTCTCCGGTAATACTAGAAATATGGAGTAGTTTTGAAATGAATGGTTTTCGTATTGTAGAAAGAGTATAAAAAAGAACAAGTCTAGATAGAATAGATGAGGGTTTATTTGAGAATTGAGAATTATAGCAGCAGAATGAAAAGTTGTGACAGAATAATCAAAGGAAATTCAAGCTGGGAAATATTCATGTATATTCACGAACATGAGGTTGTAAATTATACAAAACATTCACCATCGTATTGAATAATGTACATTGTATGAAAGGAAATTTTTTTTGTATATTTTGGATCATTTTTCGAAAGAGTAAGGCTATCAGCCTATGAACATAGCTCTCTCTGACAAGAAGTCAAATGAATTTTTTTTTCTTTCAAATCTATAAATTCCATTGTCAACAGGAGTGATAAGGCTCTCTTGATAGCTTTACTCTTTCCAAAAAAGAGCAATCAGCAAGTAATAGGAGTTTCAAATGTTAATATTATTCTACATGTATTTAAATGTGAATGAAAATCATTCAGTTGCTACAAAGATAAGATTTATACATACTACCTCAGTCCCATATTAGATGTCCACCTCGAAACTTTGACCCGTAATTTTTGTGAGTTAAAGTTTCCAAAGTGAACATCTAATATGGTACAGAGGTAATATATAAATATATAAAAGGAATATAACTAAAAATGACATCAAATGACTCAAAAATAAAAAGGGATAGTGAGTCAAAAATTTCGACGTGGACAACTAACATGGGACAGAGGGAGTATTAGTTACTCATTTGTTCTAAGAATTTCGTGGAACATTCACCCTCTTATTGATTCCTTTACATTTGATGATCAAGGATGCCTATGATTTGAATCATATTTCAAAAGCTCAAAACTCTAACGACAAGTAAAAATTATTTATTTGCTATGGAACTTCCATTTATTTATTTTGGTTAATCAATTCACTGCTGGCTTTATCATGCTAATGAACGACAAAATTGTGAACAAACTTGGTGGAAAAGATCAAATTGTAAAAATTTAAAGATAAATGCATTCTATCAATTCAAGAATTATGCAAATGCAGTCAAATCATCAATCAATAGATATATACATGAAGATTACTGATTCTGCTGTTTCTTTGGATACTTCCTCGGTCCGAATATGGTTGATCCAATCCTCACATAGGTACTTCCCATTTCAATCTGCATGAATCAAAGTGCAACTCATTAGTTACAAAACCTCTTAATCGATGTTCTAGCTTTGCTTATTTCTGCCTGCAGTGGGTAAGTTGGATAAGTAAACTCGTGGGAGATTTGCAACCGTAGTCTGCAACAAGAAAAATCAATTATTTCTCCCAACCAAGTTCAAGATACTCCAAGATGGAGAAAAAAGTTCACCTACTTTTGTTGGAAGTCATTTTCCTAGAATATACAGAGATTATAGATGCTTAAAACTAACAATATATCATCAGGAAAACTATATCCAATACCATTTACAGATTTCCTGATTTTATTTCTAAACAATACGACCAGGCCTGAGTGTTTCTAGATTCAGAAGTGCAGGTAGGAACAGTGATAATCAAACAATCTTTAAAATGAAAACAAAATATCTAATCATGCTAGAGTCTAGGGATAAATTTTAGCAGTACTAGAAGCCTTGAACTGTAGACTGAAAAGTAAGAATGAAACCTTAGGGGAAATGTAAAGGAACATGTTAAGACAGTTTACAAGTAACTGCAGTGTGATCCAGTCACAGTTTCAGACGGCATATGAAATTTCCATGAATTGTGGTAGATTAAGATACAATACAATTTCTTGTCATAAAAAGAGGTGCAATATAATTTAATGACATCTACTTTCAAATCCGCAAGATGATGGAATTGGAATAAGTTTCAATTCCTTACAGCTTTCTCAAAGTCGCCAGTCATGCCCATGGACAGCTCATAGTGGTTCTCTGTCAATCCAAGTACCTTGCATACCTCAGTTCTACAGTTTGATAGTGTCTGTTGCATTACAACACAAAAAATAAAGCCTCGGAAATTTGAATAATCAGTGAGAAAAGTAGACAGAGCAAGAGAAAATGAGTGGGAACGCTATTTTGGGGTGTCCCAACAGCACACGTATAAGAAATGGCTCCATCACGATTTCCATTGCAGTTAAGCATGGAAGTTTTCCTCATTATATGGAGGCACTACCAATATGAACATAAATGATCTTTTACCAAAAAAAAACAAAGATCCTGCATTATAATCCAATAATATTTAGTGGCCTACTGTTAAAAAGTTGAGAAAAACAAATATTATCCATTGCATGCCATGAGAAACCAAAACAGACCTTTTCTCAAATGCTCAAAGGGGGGAAAAATGAAAAAATAAATAAATAAATAATTTGCAATTATTTTATGTGGTATCACTAGGCATGCAAACACTACCCAAAAATAGGTGTGGAATCATCACCCTGAAGTTCTCTGGAGTAGATGAATAGTCCGGCATCCCTATTGTCATTAAGCCAGAGAACTCAAGATTTGGGCAACCGAGCTTAACATGTTTCACAAGCTCTAGACAACCTGACGGATCAACACCAGATTTTGCTGCAATAATGGTACAATAATCAATTAGATAGTCAATCGCATCATTTGTCATGTAAAAATAAAATGAAAGAAAAGTTCAAATCTGTGTTGAAAACAGCCAACAAACAGTAGGACTGTGGTGTTTTTTGGTGCAAGCATGATGGCTGAGGTGGCTGCATAAAAAAAAATCCTATGTGATGCTTAGGCTGCCTCAGACAAGCACCTCAGCCAGATTCTAAATATGTTGCTTAGAAGGGGCAAGAAATATTGACACATAAATAGCAAGTGGCACCAAATTACATTCATCATCATAAAATAATAGCAACTATCTATGAAAAAATAAAACTTCAATGAGCAATTTTCCCTTAAAAGGCAATGATGAACAATTCAATACTTGACTGCACTTGATCCTTGTTTCATGGAGCAGTCAATTATTTAATAATGTCGATGTGTAAATGAACATGTATAATATTGCATCTGACAAAGATGCCTCTCTCTGAAAGTAAGGATTCTTCGGGACAAATGAGGAAGATGTTGCAATTACTTAAGTTGTGATCCTTGTGGTGTATAAAAAACTACATAAATGTTGCATGAGGGAACGGTTTGGGACTGATCTCATCCCCTAAGCAAACCAATCTCCCTGGTTAATTTGTGAAGGAAAAATGGGTAAGTTATTACAATTCACTCACATGTTTCTCCACTGGTATTCACTTGGACTAAAACTTTCAAGGGCTTTCTTCCAATGCTTGAAACTATACGATCAAGTTGATTTGCAACCTGTTCAACACAGAAGGAAAGGAAACTCATTGTTGCTGTGAGGGATGTGCATTGGAGATCTTGTAAAAAACATCATTTCTCATTTAGGCTACTAATCTGCAATTTGGAGCCTCACTCGGGTTTTAGATAATGCAAAATGAAAAGAAGTAATAGAATTGATTGTATGGAGCTGAACTTTTAAGCTGGTTTATTTATTCATTAAAGGTAAAATGAAAGATGAATATATGTATCTAATTTTTAGAGACCAACATGAAAGCATAAATAATTTTACATTTACAACCAATACTCTTTTTAAGGGGGGGGAAAAAAAAAAGACAAGTTAAGAGCATAAAAAATGTTGATTTTTCTTGTGTGGTTAACCACTGGGCCATAAACCAGTTGGGATAACCTCTTCCCTCTCAAATGGGAGGTGGAGGGTTTGAGCTCCATAATGGTCATTTGTGGGTGTGTGTGTGTGTGTGTATATTTACCTATATATATATGTGTGTGTGTGTGTGTCCGTTTAGCATAATAATAAAAAAATTAACATCTGAAATACTTAAAAATAACAATTAGGAAGAAGAAGGGACGAAGGGGGGGTAAGGGGGTGGAGAAGGCAAAAGAACAGGGGGATCTTCCTTGTTTGGTAGAGGGGAAAGGCCAAGGGAAAGGATGAGAGGAGGTCTCTCTCTGGTTCCACCAGTATTCTTCTGCACAAGTGAATGGAATTCTTTCACCATTGCACATATACCTTTTTATTCTTCTAGGTACAATGGTTATTCATATAACATCCCTTCCCTTCCTTCTTTTCCTTTCTACTCCCTCGAAAAATATGATGGAAATGCTCCTTCATTCCCTTAGGATACCCTTTTTCCAATTGTCCAACTTTTTATACTAAATGGAGCATAAAACCAAAACAGATTAACTAGCTACAAAATAAAGCTAATGGATGAAGCATTTACCTTCTCATTGTCTACACCCCCAACCATGGCAAGATTTGGGACGGCAGCTGCAAATGAGAACTTAACTTTAACATGTACTATAATCCTTGTTGTTAAACCAGAAAGAGAAAGACATAGAACAGGAAAAATGAAATCTGCTTCATACCAAATCACTGAAGGACTAAGGAGATTTCGCATTGCATTATGCACTCATATCCCATGCATCCATATAGTAACAAATATGAAATGTGAGAATAATGGGCCATCATAATAATTTCAAAGAGGAACAAAACAAGATCTTCTCTTTCCATTCAGTAAAATAGTGAAGGACATTCCATTTGTCACGAGTTAATAAAAAAATATTTGTCAGGAATTGATAAAAAAAAATATCGGGATTCCCAGGACAATAAGATTCAAGAAGGAGAGAAAAATTACGAGCATAAACGAGGTTCCCTGCCATTACATAATTACTCACCCAATAAGATTTGAACTAAGTTGGGTTTGGAATCAATCAAAGATTGGGTAAAGATAAAATAAAATAAAAAAAAAAGCATCTGAGTGCGCAGTATATATTTTAGATCCTATATTAGACGAAATTTCGATATAATGTTCTAAATTGGAGTATTAGTTCAAGAAATCTATAACCAAGATAAGTCTAAACTATGAAGTCAGGATATTTATAATTCAGAGAAACATTACAAAACATTGTAAAGGCATCAAAGAGTGTGTGACAATTACAATAATATTGGTATATTACCCAGAAGTGGTTTCACTTTATTGCTCTGCAAATGCCCAACAAAGTGCCACTCAATGTCCTCAGGAAGCTGCCACATATTCAAAAATGTCAAAATCAAGTCTTCTTCTGCACACCATATCACTGCTAAATTGCAAGAACCAGGGGTTTCAATCAAAGCAATATAAAATCAAAAAATTCAAGGAAGAGAGAACCTGAGGTGCTTTATCTATGATTTCTTGGACGTAGTATTCGCCGAAACAGCGATGACCGGCGTCGTAGACTTGACGGATGAGAGAGTTAGGCTTGGTCCTGCTCACTGCCACCACCCTCACCTCGTCCGGCCTGCGACCGGACCTCTCCGCCGCCTGCCGAACACGGTGGAACACCGCCCGAAAAGCCGAGACGGCTACACTCTTCACCGCAGGAGCAGACATCACCAATCTCTCTCTCTCACACACACACTTTTCAGGGCTCTTATGGTAAAATAGAACCGGAGAACTTTAAGTTGGTAGAGGTAGCAAAATAACAGGAATAACTTATATATATATAGGGCAGAGTATGAAGTCCCCTTGGACTTGTATCATTTATCAGTAAAACTCCTTTATCTATTTTTTTCCCAAAGAATTCCTTGACTTATAGCCTTTTTTTCAATAAATCTTCCTTATTTAATTTTTTTTACCAAAGAACCCCCTCAATTATTTAAATAAGATAAAAGAGTTAATATTTGAACCAAAATGTCCTTTTATTAAAAACTTAATTCTCTCTAACTTCAAAAATTCATAAATCACAAACCGTACATTTAAAAATTGTGAATAATATATGCACGGAAAGCTTATGAATAAGGATTTCAGAAATATAATATTTATACAACAAACCTTTATAACCAGATGGAAATATACAATCTAAAAATCTACTATAACAATCCTATTTTATTTTTAAAAAATAAAATACTCAAGATATTTGCAAGAAATTTTTTTAAAATTATTCATTTACATATGAAGCCAGATATATAAAAAAAAAAAAAAAAAAATTAGGCCCAATAGAGATCAATTTCATGAGATATCATATTTTGCGTCAAAGTATTTTTCATTCTTTTATAGACTCACCATTTAAAAATAAATAAATAAAAATGAATATTCGGTCTCTATTAAGGCTAATTTTTTTATATGTTATGATCCATATGAAAATGAATAATTCTAAAAATTTTCATGCAAATAACCCAAGTATTTTATAAAAAATAAAATAAAATAAGATTGTTGCAGTAAATTTTTAGATTGTCTATTTCTCTTCGGTTATAAAGTTTAGTTAAACAAATTTTATATTTATGGAATCCTTGTTTTATAAGCTTTCTGTGCATATATTATTTGCAATATTTGGATGTACGGTTTGTGATATATGAATTTTCAAAAAATTAAGATTTAAAAAAAGGGGTATTTTGGTCCAAATATCAACTATTTTACCCCTTTAGATAGTTGAGGGGGTCCTTTGGTAAAAAAATTAGGCAAGAGGGATTTACTAGAAAGGACTACAAGTCGAAGGAGGTTCTTTGGTAAAAATATAAACAAGGGGGGTTTACTAGAAAAGGTTACAAGTTGAGGGGAGTTTTTTGTATTTTGCCCTATATATATATATATTGAAAGTGATCTACATAATTTTTTGGGGTAATTTACACAAACCTCCCATATGGTTTGCTTACAAAGACTTTCCCTCCTGTTTTGAAAATTACTCGAACCTCCCATAATTTTGAAATATCCTACACGGATCTCCTTTATGTGTACACTAACAGATCTGTTAAAAATATTTAAATACCCTCTCTTTGGCATCTGAAATTACTAAACTACCCATCTGAAACTTTGGGCTCTCTGCAACGCCAACATTTGCTTCGGTTAGGGAGGCTTAAAGATCTGCAAATGGTCGAGAAAAGATATGCAAATTCTTTCTTTCTACAAGATTTCAACAAATTTAGAAAATTTGCAAAGGTTACAAAATCTTTCTCTCTCTTCAGATTTAGTTCATTTCATTTCTCTCTTTACAATTAGTCTCTCCTCTACCTTTTTTTTCTCCTCTTTCTTTCTCTTCGTGTGTTTGGGTTTTTGTGTATATATACAGAGAGAAATTTACCAAAATAAAAATAAATATACAGAGAGAAATTTACCAGACTAAATGAAAATCATACATGAGGCTTGTGCATATAATGCGTGTGTGCATATATATAGAAAAGGAAAGAGTAATAACTTGGAATTGTGTCAATATTGGGTCTTTGGGATTTTGTGATTTTCAATGATTTTTTAGATCAGAACTTGATTTTGGAGGTGATAAGGATAAAAATAATAGGCAACTCAAAGTCAAAAGAGAAATCAGATAAGGGTAAGGGATTTATCTTACCCAAAATCTCTATGAAATCATAAAAAATATCTGGTTACCATATGTAACTAGAGTTACCATTCCTGTAAAAAGGGAACAATATCATCTTGAATCAGGGAGAATCTCGCTTCAACAACTACTACCATTAATGCTTTTATAAAAGAAATGATCAGTCAACCTAAAAAGATATGCCATAAATTTTATATGTAATCCTTATCGGATATTAGATCGTCAAGTACTAACTTGACCGTCGGAGTGCACCCGGCCGGCACCACGCCGGTCATCACTTCTCTTGTTTTGCAGAAATCGCCACCAACTCCGGAGCGTGTAGATTTTTGGCATCAACAGTTGGTGCCGTCTGTGGGAACGTATATTGGTCCCAACAAATCATGGTTCGTACAAGGAAAATCTACTACAAAACTTAAAAGCAATTCAGTCCCTTTACAATCTGGCTTTCTCTAAAAGAAAGAGAATAGTTCATGGATTACGTGGCCAAAAGCAACAGTACAGTTGCTCAATCCGGTAAAATTGCTGGAAAGCCCCACCCGACCGCTAGCAGTTGTTTCATCATTGCTGTTAACCGGGTAAGTTTTATACATTACGCGTATATCAAAATATATGTCTACACTTCCTCACATGATTTAAAGAGAAATAATTTTTTATGTGTTTCCAATTGTCTGCAAAATATTGTTCACCTACATAATGATGTAGTTCACTTGGGGACCCTTCGATAGAATACTACGCTTTGTGGGTACTGTTCACAGGGTTTGAAAAAATAAAAAATAAAAAATATTCTGTGAGTACTATTCACATGAATAGTGTCAGCGGGAATAGTACCCGCGGGTACTGTTCACAGGGTGAAAAAATAAAAAAATAAAAATAAAAAAATAAAAATCTTATTCTAGAGAACAATTGCTAGCTCCATTGATGCTCAATGATAAGTTTTTGCCTTAATTGTACCAATTCTGATATATATAAATATGTATATATATATTATCCGTTCAAACTGTACATCTGTTCTTTTATTTTTGTTTTACTAACTTTGCAAATAGAAAGAAAACATTAGTATTCCTTGCGCGTGAGAGGCAAGCTTGGGAATGGGAGCAGAAAATTAACCTCTCTTATTAAAGATACGAGCTCACGAAGCTTTGGAAAATTAGTCTTTCTTATCAAACAGATGAGATGACGAAACTCACGAGGATGAACCTCCCATATTAAAAGGATAAGTTCATGAAGCTTGGAGAACCTACTCCCTTTTTAAAGGGCTAGTTGAATGAAGCTCGTAATTGTCATCCCCGTATTATAAGGGATTAATATAAAAGTGCCTCGTACTATAAGGGTCCGAACTGAATGAAGCTCGTAATTGTTGTCCTCCGTATTAAAAGGGGTCAAAATCAACTTGTAAAATATACTTCCCTTTTTAAAGGGTGAGCTGAGTGAAGCTCGTAAAATATATTTTCCTTTTTAAAGGGCGAGTTGAATGAAGCTCATAATTACCATCCCGGTATTATAAGGGATTGATATAAAAGTGCTCCGTACTATAAGGGCCCGAGCTGAATCGTAATTGTTGTCCTCCGTATTAAAAGGGGTCGAAATCAACTTGTAAAATATACTTTCCTTTTTAAAGGGCGAGCTGAGTGAAACTCGTAAAATATATTTTCCTTTTTAAGAGGGCGAGCTGAGTAAAACTCGTAAATATACTTCCCTTTTTTAAAAGGTAAGCTCATTCAGCTTAAGAAAGCCTACTCCCCCAGCTCATGAAGTTCCGGCAAATCTTAAGAGATCAACCAAAAAAAGGCCGCCCAACAAGGGTTAACCTAAAAAGAGATTGATTTATGCCAAAGAGACGTCACTCCAAAAAATACTCTGACATTCTCGATGCTTGACAAACAAGCACGAGAATGGGGGGCAACTGATAAGGATAAAAATAATAGGCAACTCAAAGTCAAAAGAGAAATAAGATAAGGATAAGGGATTTATCTTACCCAAAATCTCTATGAAATCATAAAAAATATCTGGTTACCATATGTAACCAGAGTTACCATTCATGTAAAAAGGGAACAATATCATCTTGGATCAGGGAGAATCTTGCTTCAACAATTACTACCATTAATGCTTCTATAAAAGAAATGATCAGTCAACCTAAAAATGTATGCCATAAATTTTATATGTAATCCTTATCGGATATTAGATCGTCAAGTACTAACTTGATCGTCGGAGTGCACCCGGCCGGCACCACGCCTGTCATCACTTCTCTTGTTTTGCAGAAATCGACACCGACTTCTGAGCGTGTGGATTTTTGGCATCAACAGGAGGATTTAGTAGTTTTGTTGGGTAACAAAATATTCAGCAGCATGATGATTTTATGGTCCAATCTTCGGTGGGGAATTTACGGCACCGTCGAATTGGATGCAGAGTATATATATATATATATATATATATATATATATATATATATATATATATATATATATATCAATTGGTAGGGATAAGGGTATTTTAGGGATTTTAGTAAGAATAGTAGACGACGTCATTAATTTCTATCGTTGACTGCCGTTGACTTTAACAAAAGGGAGGTTTGTGTAAGATATTTTCAAAATTAAAAGAGGTCCGAGTAATTTCCGAAACAGGAGGGGAGGTCCCTGTAATTATGTAATAATAATAATAATCTTCTACTAATATACATCAAAGTAAAAGTAAAAATCTTACCGTTACAACAATATATATATATTTTTAAATTGATATTTAGTTAATTTTTTAGAACTATATGAACATTTTTTAATTTTCTTATTAAAAACTAGATTTTTATCTTTTACAAATTTTATTTTTGAAATAATTAGTCTATTTTTTAAAAGTATAAAATATATTAATTTATTAAAAAATAATAAATGCTGAATTTCATTTTTATTTTAATTTATAATTTTTGCAAAAAAAATTTCAGTCATAATGTACTTTGTACCATAGATTTTCTAAACTTATATTTAAATAAAAGAATGAAGAATTTATCAATTCTTTGAAGAAAAAATTTCCCAGTTCAAAATTTGAATTTATAAGAATATAACAAAATAAATTTAAAATGAAAAAGACTAATAACAATTTAAAAACCAAAAATAGAATAATTATAATTACAAATTGCACAAAAGTAAAGTAAAAAATTTGAGAGATCTAAGCTAATTTGAAAACATTTACGAAAATTAGAATTTATTAATGTTATTGAAGCTTTATAGGGATCTTGAAAGTAAAAAGTATGTACTCTAAGAAGAACCTAGGAAGTGCTAGTGTTTTCTTTCTGTGCTTTATTTTTTTTAAAATTTTTTATTATTTGCAATACATTTTTATTATTATTATTATTATTATTATTTGTAACAAAGAGCCCTCAAGGTTTTACTTTACCTCAAAAGGTCTTATACCAATTGGAGTTGACACACTTACATATAAGCACTTCACATTTTCTCTACCCAGGCGATGTGGGACTGTGCACCTGTAGCTCGTTAGTGTGGTAGCCTGTCAGTATCTCTCGCACGCGCCCACGGCACACTCGCCCACAGGGTCATCACAATCCACCCCCCTTGGAGGCCCGACGTTCTCGTCGACACACTTTCGGCTGGGTCAGAGTCTGAGCTCGCACGGTTTTGCTCTTGCACTTTACTCCAAGGCCTCATATCAATTCGAGATGACACACTTACATATAAACACTTCATCTTTTCTCTACCCAGACGATGTAGGACTGTGCACCCGTAACTCGTCAGTATAATAGTCTGTTAACATCTCTCTCGCCTGCCCACGACACACCTGCCAACAGGGTCATCACACTTTTTCTTTATGTTCACAATGGTGGTGTCACCTTTTTTAGATGCATCACTTTTTCTTTCCACTTTTTTATTTAAAAAACTTGTACTTGAACAAATTTTCTTATGGCTAGAGACCGAGGCAAATTGGCCATTTCAGGCTCTCGTTTTTTGTTTTTTTGTTTTTTTTCGTTCTTTTCTGTTTCACTTTCTTTCCCTTATAGCAGTTCGTCCTGTTCTGCGAAAGTCGGTGAGTTTTTAGCTTTTTTTACGGAAACAAATAAAAGACCGTTGAAGTTTAATTTCTGTAACATATAAAAGAGTTTTAGCGTAATACTACGCGCCATTGCGAGTGTATGTTTGGCTTGACGAGGTGTAGAAAGGAATTTTTTTAAGGTTATACTACAGGTTTATTATTTTGATTTTTCTTTCTAAAATAATTTATTAATGACTAAAAAGTAACTAAATATATAAGAGTTAAGTGTTAATATCACATAATAATTTAAAATTTTCAATCGGACAGCGAAGCATTTACTCATCAAAAGACATTCAAACTTTATATATTTTATAAAATAAATCAATTCGTCAAAAGGCATTCAAACTTTACTTTTTTTTATAAAACAAACCGAGCTCAAATTTACTTTAGGCGCTCACTTATAAAAACGAGCCATTTGATAAATATCCAATTTGTTTTTATAACATGTAATAGTTTTGTTCTTGGACATAGCTTATAATAGTTTATTATATCATTGTTAAACTAATACATTAATATAAATAGTAAAAAAACTAAAACAATTTTTTTTCATAAGCTCGCTAATCAAGGCAAATCGAACCTGCTTGCGATCAATGTTAGTGGAACTTCAAAATCAGCTTTCTCAACCTCTCACTAGTTCAAGCTGAAATTACTATGTGGACGATCCATCTTGTATGGACTTATTCAGAAGTCAAGCTTGATTCAAGAACAATTTGATCATAACGCATAATTGTGACATATGATGTGCATATCTAATTTAAACCCATTCGTTAGTATGTCCCATTCAATCAATCCTTTTCTTTTTCGACAGGCTTCATACATATATACAATGCTTTTAGAGAGGTCTATTTACTCAAAATATAAGAGTATCTTTAACCGTTATAATCTCTAATCGTTGTGTATATAATTTTGTATAAATTTGATTTGTCAAAATTGATTTACACAAAATTTTATACTACCTATTTTTAGTTCCATCGATTGTTTTGTACATTTTGTGTAAAAAAATATCTCCCAATAACAATCAACCACGTGCCATACCCAAGGCCCTACAAAACTGTTACAAACCTAGTTAATTCCCTTTACTTTTTCGCGATTAAACCTCACGTCCCAATCCTCCTCAATTAGAAAAAAAAATATTAATTTCCCCCTATATTTCACTTTCCCATCGGCCGATAGCAAACTTTTTCTGCCACCACCAGAATTTTAACTTAATAACAAATAATAAAATGAGATTCAAGTACGTAGAAATTACATAATCAAAGGTTTTAAATCAACAATTATATAAAAACATGATTAAAATATATATCTAATCTTTGGCTAGCTAGTATATATTTATCTTATTAGAATAAAATGTAAAAAGATAAAAAAAAATCTAAAAAAAGGGCAATTATATAAAAATGTGATTAAAATATATATCTAGTCTTTGGCTAACTAGTACATATTTCTCTCATTAGAATAGAATGTAAAATGATAAAAAAAATCTAAAAAAAAGGGGATAATTGCAGAAGATAAGATCAAACGAAAGTGATGAATTAAACTATATTTATTAATAAATAAATAAGTAAAAGATAGTCGCGCAGTTCTTATCTTGTTGCCAGTTGTAGATTCTTCTCTATGGCGCTCTAAAAAAGTGTGAAACAAAGAACCGTAAAGAAATGAGAGAGAAGAAAGAGAACCGCCAGTGAAAAAGGGGAAGGAAAGAGAAAATATGTTTACGTGGTTGTGTAAAATACACAATCTTTTTATACCTTAGTGATATGACAATATAATTTAACAGACTGCTGGAGATGCTCTCTTGGAATAAGTTTGGAAAAAACTCTCATAGTATAAAGGTTTTAGTGGGACCAGTAGGAGATCTGGAAGAAATACCTCTCAACTTTGCCTTTAATTTTAATGGTTTTCCTAGTATATTATTTAAAAACAAACGAGAAAGACTTTCTATTGATACTAGGTATTATCAACCAATTATATCTAATCATATAAGAAAATGTGAATTTATTTTAGTGAGTCCTATTATTTATGTGTCATATATCATCAATTGGTGATACCATATCAATAATATCATCAATATACACTAGCATTAAAGTATTTCTCCGATAATACTAGAAATATGGAGTAGTTTTGAAACGAATAGTTTTGGTATTGTAGAAAGAGTATAAAAAGGAAATTAGTCTAGATAGAATAGATGAGGGTTTATTTGAGAATTGAGAATTATAGCAGCAGAATGAAAAGTTGTGACAGAATAATCAAAGGAAATTCAAGCTGGGAAATATTCATGTATATTCACGAACATGAGGTGGGAAATATTCTACAAAACATTCACCATCCTATTGAATCATGTACATTGTATGAAAGGAATTTTTTTTTTTTGTATATTTTGGATCATTTTTCGAAAGAGTAAGGCTATCAGCCTACGAACATAGCTCTCTCGTGACAAGAAGTCAAATGAATTTTTTTTTTGTTCTTTCAAATCTATAAATCCAACGGTAAACAAGAGTGATAAGACTCTCTTGATAGCTTTACTCTTTTCAAAAAAGAGCAGTCAACAAGTAATAGGAGTTTCAAATGTTAATATTATTCTACATGTATTTAAATGCGAATGAAAATCATTCAATTGCTACAAAGACGAGATTTATACATACTATCTCAGTCCCATATTAGATGTCCACCTCGAAAACTTTGACTCACAATTTTTGTGAGTCAAAGTTTCTGAAGTGGACATTTAATATAGTACACAGGTAGTATATAAGTATATAAAAGGAATATGATTAAAAATGACATCAAATGACTCAAAAATAAAAAGGATAGTGAGTCACAGCTAACATGGGACACAGAGAGTATTAGTTACTCATTTGTTCTAAGAATTTCGTGGAACATTCACCCTCTTATTGATTCATTTACATTTGATGATCAAGGATGCGTATGGTTTGAATCATATTTCAAAAGCTCAAAACTCAAACGACAAGTAAAAAAAAATTATTTGCTATGGAACTTCCATTTATTTATTTTGGTTAATCAATTCACTGCAGGCTTTATCATGCTAATGAACGACAAATTTGTGAACAAACTTGGTGGAAAAGATCAAACTGTATAAATTTAAAGATAAATGCATTATATCAATTCAAGAATTGTGCAAATGCAGTCAAATCATCAATCAATAGATATATACATGAAGATTACTGATTCTGCTGCTTCTTTGGATACTCCCTCGGTCCGAATATGGTTGATCCAATCCTCACATTGGTACTTCCCATTTCAATCTGCATGAATCAAAGTGCAACTCATTAGTTACAAAACCTCTTAATCGATGTTCTAGCTTTGCTTATTTCTGCCTGCAGTGGGTAAGTTGGATAAGTAAACTCGTGGGAGATTTGCAACCGTAGTCTGGAACAAGAAAAATCAATTATTTCTCCCAACCAAGTTCAAGATACTCCAAGATGGAGAAAAAAGTTCACCTACTTTTGTTGGAAGTCATTTTCCTAGAATACACAGAGACTATAAATGCTTAAAACCAACAATATATCATCAGGAAAACTATATCCAATACCATTTACAGATTTCCTGATTTTATTTCTAAACAATACAAGCAGGCCTGGGTGTTTCTAGATTCAGAAGTGCAGGTAGGAACAGTGACAATCAAACAATCTTTAAAATGAAAACAAAATATCTAATCATGCTAGAATCTAGTGAGAAATTTTAGCAGTACTAGAAGCCTTGAACTGTAGACTGAAAAGTAAGAATGAAAATTTAGGGGAAATGTAAAGGAACATGTTAAGACAGTTTACAAGTAACTGCAGTGTGATCCAGTCAGGCGGCATATGAAATTTCCATGAATTGTGGTAGATTAAGATACAATACAATTTCTTGTAATAAAAAGAGGTGCACTATGATTTAATGACATCTACTTTCAAATCAGCAAGATGATGGAATTGGAATAAGTTTCAATTCCTTACAGCTTTCTCAAAGTCGCCAGACATGCCCATGGACAGCTCATAGTGGTTCTCTGTCAATCCAAGTACCTTGCATACCTCAGTTCTACAGTTTGATAGTGTCTGTTGCATTACAACACAAAAAATAAAGCCTCGGAAATTTGTATAATCAGTGAGAAAAGTAGACAGAGCAAGAGAAAATGAGTGGGAACGCTATTTTGGGGTGTCCCAACAGCACACCTATAAGAAATGACTCCATCCCGATTTCCATTGCAGTTAAGCATGGAAGTTTTCCTCATCATATGGAGGCACTACCAATATGAACAAAAATGAACTTTTACAAAAAAAACAAAGATCCTGCATTATAATCCAATAGTATTTAGTGGCCTACTGTTAAAAAGTTGAGAAAAACAAATATTATCCATTGCATGCCATGAGAAACCAAACTGACCTTTTCTCAAATGTTCAAAGGGGGAAAAAAAAAAAATTGCAATTATATTATGTGGTATCACTTGGCATGCAAACACTACCCAAGAATAGGTGTGGAATCATCACCCTGAAGTTCTCTGGAGTTGATGAATAGTCTGGCATCCCTATTGTCATTAAGCCAGAGAACTCAAGATTTGGGCAACCGAGCTTAACATGTTTCACAAGCTCTAGACAACCTGATGGATCAACACCAGATTTTGCTGCAATAATGGTACAATAATCAATTAGATAGTCAATCAAATCATTTGTCATGTAAAAATAAACTGAAAGAAAAGTTCAAATCTGTGTTGAAAACGGCCAACAAACAGTAGGACTCTGGTGTTTTTTGGTGCAAGCATGATGGCTGAGGTGGGTGCATAAAAATAAATCCTATGTGATGCTTAGGCTGCCTCAGACAAGCACCTCAGCCAGATTCTAAATATGTTGCTTAAAAGGGGCAAGAAATATCGACACAGAAATAGCAAGTTGGCACCAAATTACATTGACATCATCATAAAATAATAGCAACTATCTATGAAAAAATAAAACTTCAATGAGCAATTTTCACTTAAAAGGCAATGATGAACAATTCAATACTTGACTGCACTTGATCCTTGTTTCATGGAGCAGTCAATTATTTAATAATGTCGATGTGTAAATGAACATGTATACTGGCAAAGATGCCTCTCTCTGAAAGTAAGGATTCTTCGGGACAAATGAGGAAGATGTTGCAATTAGTTAAGTTGTGATTCTTGTGATGTATAAAAAACTACATAAATGTTGCATGAGGGAACGATTTGGAACTGATCTCATCCCCTAAGCAAACCAATCTCCCTTGTTAATTTGTGAAGGAAAAATGGGTAAGTTATTACAATTCACTCACATGTTTCTCCACTGGTATTCACTTGGACTAAAACCTTCAAGGGCTTTCTTCCAATGCTTGAAACTACACGATCAAGTTGATTTGCAACCTGTTCATCACAGAAGGAAAGGAAACACATTGTTGCTGTGAGTGATGTACATTGGAGATCTTGTAAAAAACATCATTTCTCATTTAGGCTACTAATCTGCAATTTGAAGCCTCACTCGGGTTTGAGATAATGCAAAATGAAAAGAAGTAATAGAATTGACACCATGGAACTGAACTTTTAAGCTGGTTTGTTTATTCATTAAAGGTAAAATGAAAGATGAATATATGTATCTAATTTTTAGAGATCAACATGAAATCATAAATAATTTTACATTTACAACCAATACTCTTTTAAAGGGAAAAAAAGACAAGTTAAGAGCATAAAAAATGTTGATTTTTCTTGTGTGGTTAACCACTGGGCCATTAACCAGTTGGTATAACCTGTTCCCTCTCAAATGGGAGGTGAGGGGTTCGAGCTCCATGATGGTCATTTGTGGGTGTGTGTGTGTATTTACCTATATATATATATATATATATGTCAGTTTAGCATAATAATAAAAAATTAACATCTTAAATACTTAAATAACAATTAGGAAGAAGAATGAAGGGACAAAAGGGGGGTTAAGGGGGTGGAGAAGGCAAAAGAACAGGGGGATCTTCCTTGTTTGGTAGAGGGAAAAGGCCAAGGGAAAGGATGAGAGGAGGTCTCTCTCTGGTACCACCAGTATTCTTCTGCACAAGTGAATGGAATTCTTTCACCCTTGCACATATACCTTTTTATTCTTCTAGGTACAATGGTTATTCATACAACATCCCTTCCCTTCCTTCTTTTCCTTTCTACCCCCTCAAAAAATATGATGGAAATGCTCCTTCATTCCCTTAGGATACCCTTTTTCCAATTGTCCAACTTTTTATACTAAATGGAGCATAAAACCAAAACAGATTAACTAGCTACAAAATAAAGCTAATGGATGAAGCATTTACCTTCTCATTGTCTACACCCTCAACCATGGCAAGATTTGGGACAGCAGCTGCAAATGAGAACTTAACTTTAACATGTACTATAATCCTTCTTGTTAAACCAGAAAGAGAAAGATATAGAACAGGAAAAATGAAATCTACTTCATACCAAATCTCTGAAGGACTAAAGAGATTTCGCATTGCATTATGCACACATATCCCATGCATCCATATAGTAACAAATATGAAATGTGAGAATTATGGGCCATCATAATAATTTCAAAGAGGAACAAAACAAGATCTCTTTCCATTCAGTAAAAATAGTGAAGGACTTTTCATTTGTCAGGAGTTAATAAAAAAATATCAGGATTCCCAGGACAATAAGATTCAAGAAGGAGAGAAAAATTACGAGCATAAAAAAGGTTCGCTGCCATTACATAATTACTAAGCATAACCCAATAAGATTTGAACTAAGTTGGGTTTGGAATCAATCAAAGATTGGGTAAAGATAGAAAAAAAAAAAAAAACATCTGAGTGCGTAGTATATATTTTAGATCCTATATTAGACGAAATTTCTATATAATTTTCTAAATTGGAGTATTAGTTCAAGAAATCTATAACCAAGATAGGTCAAAACTATGAAGTCAGGATATTTATAATCCAGAGAAACATTACAAAACATTGTAAGGACATCAAAGAGTGTGTGACAATTACAATCATATTGGTATATTACCCAAAAGTGGTTTCACTTTATTGCTCTGCAAATGCCCAACAAAGTGCCACTCAATGTCCTCAGGAAGCTGCCACATATTCAACAATTTCAAAATCAAGTCTTCTGCACACCATATCACTGCTAAATTGCAAGAACCAGGGTTTCAATCAAAGCAATATAAAATCAAAAAATTTCAAGGAAGAGAGAACCTGAGGTGCTTTATCTATGATTTCTTGGACGTAGTTTTCGCCGAAACAGCGATGACCGGCGTCGTAGACTTGACGGATGAGAGAGTTAGGCTTGGTCTTGCTCACTGCCACCACCCTCACCTCGTCGGGCCCGCGACGGGACCTCTCCGCCGCCTGCCGAACACGGTGGAGCACCGCCCGGAGAGCCGAGACGGCTACACTCTCCACCGCAGGAGCAGACATCACCAATCTCTCTCTCACACACACACTTTTCACGGCTCTTGTAATAAAATATAAACCAGAGAACTTGAGGTTGCTGAGGTAGTTATGCTACGTGGTCATGAAGTACAGTAGTAGTGCCGATTAATTTTTAGAAAATTTAACACCAATAACTTTTTTATATACACACACTAGTAAAATGCACTGTATTGAATGTTTTGTAACTTATGGTTATATTTGGATATTTGGTTGTATGATATTGTTAGATATTAAATAAATTTTTATGAATAATATTTAGAGTGTATTAATTGTCATCTCAATGAATTCCTAAACTATACCTCTTTGAAAATAAAAGTATTTATATGAACAATGTTTAAAGAGTACTATTTGTCACCTCAAGAAAAAGAAAATAAGGTTTTCCATTAACGAATGAATGAAAACTATAAACATTTAAAAATATATATAAAAATTAAAATTCTATAATTTATAAAATATTTATAAATAAATACTATATAAAAATTCTATATATTATAAAATCGGAAAGAGTACCAACAATGTTTAGATTGTAATAATTGTCACTTCAAAAGAAACAAAATATATTAGGAAATCTAAAACTATAACTGTTTGAAAATAAAAGTATTCCTAAATTATTTATTTCTCAATCTTTATCTTTTTTGCATATCTCATTTCTTCATGAATCATTATCAAGTGTCAATTCTTTTAATTCTTCCACTGTAAAATAGGTTTTCACAACTTGTTGTTGAGTATTGTCTATCTTCACAAAAAAAAAAAAAGATTTTCCTTTGCACCTTGTCACTTTGTTGCTAAATTCATCCATATCTTGCAAAAAGAAGAAATATAATTTAGAGCTATTGAGAAATTCAAGTAAGTATTTTTTTTTAATTTAATTAAAATTTTATGAATAAGGGTGGAAAATTACCTCAATTTGTAATTGTAGTAAATCATCTAGTGAACAATTTATTAATGTTTGGCAATCATTGAGCATTGTTAGGGTTGCAAGTGTTGCAATATGTTCCATACTTCACACTTTAATTATCATCATGAATCTGCACATAAGTAAAGACAAAGAATTATGTATTTGTAATATTATTAAACCATTGAAATAAATACAATAATAAGGTTTTAGGATATAATAATACTTTTGAATGCATTTTGGGTCTGTTGTGTTGCATCGAGGACAGTATACTATATCTTTTTCAACTTTTATTTTCTTGTTGCATTTCTCACAGGCGTCATACCACGGTTCGCGGTCATTAACGACATTTTCAATTATTGTTTCGAAACAGTAATTTGTTTTCTGCAAGTTGTGCAACAAAATATAACTTCTCAATAAATAAATTGAATATAAAAATGTGATATACAATTAAGAAAGATTAAGAAACATACTGAAATTTAATACCTCAAAGGACATTGTAATTTTCCTATTATGTCTTGAAGTTTGACTTTTTCAGTATCATTGAATTTTTGATCTTTTGTATTGGAAATCAAACTTCTTATATCTTTGTTATTTATGTTCTCTTTGAACCTGTCCACATATAAATTATCTTGTAAAATAATTAAATAAATAAAACAGAAAAACATATTCTCTTTCTACAAATAATGTATATTTTGCACCAAGAAGTCTGCAATATAAAAATATAAAAACAAATATCATCTGGCGTATATGTTTAGTTATATATGAATATGCTCAAAGAAAAAGATTACATATAGCTTTATGAATATATATATATAATGTAAAAGAAGTTGGAATAAATAAAGAACCAATGTCTTAATGCTTTGACACTTTCAATATCCATATTGATTTGCAATGTAGATCCTTTTTGCGTTTGAAGAGACAGACCTGGAATATAACATTATTATTTGTAAAAATTTGTTATTATAGATTTACTTAATAATATATAATGTAAATAATATCGATTTGTATGATAATTTACCTTTGTAAGTGTTGATTGCCATATGTGTAACTGTGATAATAGGTCTTTCTTATATTAATTCCATGTAAAGTTTCCTTCATTCTCAGCAAGATCCTTCCATAACGTCAAAGTAGTTGTCCTTGAACTATAATAAAGATTAATTACTTTAGTCATTATATTATATTGGCATAATTATGATCGTATATGTAATATAATAATGACGTACCTCATATCCATTATAATGGCTTTCCGCTTTTTGGTTGTGCCTCTATTTTTCTTCTTACATATGTTCAATGTAGGAAATACCTCAATAACAATTCCCAAAGCATCTAGCCAGATTAAAAATAAAATAAAAAATAAAAAATTTTAATTTTAATTTTATATATGTACAAGAGATAACATATATATGGAGAGTTGAGAATTAAACGAAAACTAACCCATATTTTCTTTTGCATTAGTGTAGTTGTTCAGCTCCTTGAAGTCCACAAAATTAAAGTTTATTATTTCTAGGCTTACTACTTCAAGCTTTTCAACTTCAATTGAGGTGTTATTAAAAAACTTCAATTCATACTCTTTGTGCACACTCCTATATATAGGATTGACGTCTTTTACAGTTACATTAGAAATTATATATGTCTTGTGAAGCAATAGTGAATCATTGAATTTGGTGACGAGCTCATTAAATAAGACACCTTGAATTTGTGTTCCCTGAAAGAGTAAAAAAGATGTGTAAATGGATTAATAAGATCATTAAATAACAATGTTACCATACAAATATAGATGCATTTAATGAAACTAATAGAAATAGTCGATGGTATACTTACATCATCATCCATCAGAACTACTTTCAACATTGTTCCTGATGTGTATTCCTCGATTGTTCTTCGAAGTACAACTACTTTTATTGTCGATTCTGTTTTTAAACTAACAAGTGAATTTATTAAGTCAAAGCTTTGGTGACCTTTCTTCATTTTCATGATTTTTTTTGCATGATTAAAATAAAAAAGAATTGAGGTTAAAGAAAATAAAAAATAAAAATAAAATTGTGAAATAAGAATGATCGAGTATCAAAATAGAAATGAAAAAAATATATACATACATCAATAGTAAGTTAAATCGAAGTTAATATTTTTTATAAATTTTTAAAAGAATAAAATTGTGAGTGAAAGATTTAAATATTGTAATAATTGGTAGCGAATGTGGGGTATCTTTACCTTTCGAACAATGAAAAATAATTTTGGAATGGGAAGGCATGGATATTAATGCGGGTGTATCCTTACCTTTCAGATTGGAGAACCTCCTTATAGACAACATTTTTAGTGTATGTATCACCTCTAATGTTTGTTTGATCCTTCTTAATAAGTACTTTAGTAGTTGGCATTGAAGTTCCTCTAGATAGTGCGACATATAATTGTCCATGGGAGAACACGTGCTCAGGTAGATAAACTCCAACATAAGGAATGGTTTGGCGCTGTGCCTTATTTATTGTCATTGCAAAACTTAACCGGATTGGAAACTGTATTCGTGTAAAATGGAAAGGTGTAGCTTCATTCTTTACTGGGCATAGGGGTATTCTTGGAATCAGTACTTGTTTTCCAGCATGTTGTCCATGGCTAATTTCTGCATTGATGCCTTTGTTCCACGACAGGTGAGCCTGGTACCATTACATAATCTATTTGTCGGATCCAAATTTCTCAGTAACATTATAGGACAATCGACTTTCAACGTTAACTTACGTGACGGGAGGCCATTTGGAGCCAATGAATTAAAGAAATCTTCTTGGTAATAAGTCCCCATATCATCAGTAGTTTTGTCAAAGCTATAATATGTAGTGGGTTCGCCTGGGAATTGTTCAATGAGTTTCTCATTCAATTTGTCAAAGAAATCATTTTTGGTTGCCAAAATTGCTCGATTTGTAATATATTCCGCCGAGTGTGCATTTTCGAGGAGGTGGGGGGAAAACAACATTTATCAATTCTTTTTCTAAATCCTCCTCATTTGTAGATTTTATTACCATCTCGTCTGGCAACTTGATCATGTTGTCCACCAGAACTAGTTTTTCCCCATTACCAACACGTAAAATTTGCAAATGAAGGATCAGTTCTTGTTCTTATGTTCTATTTCAACTGTATCTTTTTCATCTTCTTCCATAAGTAAGATTCTACCAAACTTACTCCAATTGTTTCAACCCAGGTCCCTCGAGGTACAACAGGTAATACTTGTCGAAAGTCTCCACCAAAGACTACTACTTTTCCTCCAAAAAGTTCCATGGTACTGAGGAGATCTTGGAAAGTCCCGTCAACTGCTTCAATTGCATAATGTTTAGCCATTGGTGCTTCATCTCAAATAATGACACTTCCTTTACGCATTAGCTCTGTTGTTGAACTTTGCTTTGAAATGTTACAAACTGCGGACTTGTTTGCTAATATTGGAATTTTAAATCTCGAATGTGCGGTCCTGCCACTAGGTAAAATCGAAGATGCAACTAACTCTAAAGCTATTTTGAAATGTTCAGATCAAATGTGGTACTTAATTTAAATATGTTTGTTATCAAGTATGGAAAGAATTATTTGGTCCATTTGGGTTTGGTTTAGGTTTTGAATCCCTTCCTGCTGCAATCGTGGGATATAATAATTAATGAGAGTAGTATAATATAATTTGTTAATTTGAATTTTATTAGGTAATTACTGTTATTATATTTTGTGTGAGTAGTATAGTATAATTTGAATTTATTATATTTTGTGTGAGTAGTAGTATACTGCAAAATTTAGTACTACACTTGATCTTAGCCAAAAGGCCGAGAAGGTGTGATTATTATTAGGTTTTGAATATAATTTGAATTTTAATTATTATATGTTTTGAATTTTAGTATAATTTGAATTTTAATTAAACTCTTTATTGATTGTGAATATAATAATTAAACTCTTTATTGTGAATTAAACCCTTTTTATGAATATGTTTTTATTAATGAGAGTAGTATAGTATAATTTGAATTGTGAATTAAACTCTTTTTATATTTTGTTAATTAGAATTTTATTAGGCAATTACTGTTATTATAATTTAGTAATTTATTACCGTGGAAGCATGTGGTAAGTTTTAGAGCTTTGGGGGTTCTCAAATTAGGAGAGGTTGTGTTGTATTTTGCTTTTCCTGCTTGGTTA